AGTGGATGACTACAATGCCAGAACACTTGAACATGGAATGGGTTGATAGCGTAAAGGTAAAGTAGATTAGCGGTTCAGATAAACCCGCATCTCAGACTCTATAACTTTATTCATCTTACCCTTTCTGATTTTTTTATTCTGTTTGTAGCATGTTTTCAAGTACTTCACTGAGAGAACTCCCAGGTCACACTTTGAAACACGCGATACTTCGCTTATTTGGAACTACAAATATGCAGGTACTTATATATTTTTTACCTGATTGTTTTTGCCTTCTGATCACCCTGACACACTTGATGTCTCGTTCTTCTCTGTAGATATCGAATTCGGGAGAATTCAAGCAAGAGATTTGTTACAACACTTATGGACAGGTCCAATCTCTAATGCATCAGTTGATGTTGTCCAAGGAAGCCGCTCTGTGGAAGTCCGTGCAGTTGGTGTCACAAAGGTAAAGAAAAAATTCGTCTCTAGTCTTTTTCTTTCTACTCTATATCAACTTAGATTCTCACATTCCGGATTCTTTTCTTCCTCAGGGAGCGGCAATCGATCGCATTCTAGGAGAGATAGTGCATAGCAAGTCGATGACCACACCGATCGATTACGTCTTGTGCATTGGTCATTTCTTGGGGAAGGTGATATACCACATCCAATTCTATAATGTCGAGAGATTTTGATACAAACTGTCTCTGACATTGTGTTTACAGGACGAAGATGTTTACACTTTCTTCGAACCAGAACTTCCATCCGACATCCCAGCCATTGCACGAGCCAGACCATCATCTGATAGTGGAACCAAGTCATCATCAGGAGACCGAAGACCGCCTTCAAAGTTGACACATAACACCAACAAAAGTGGATCAAAATCGTCATCATCCTCTAACTCTAACAACAACAACAAGTCCTCACAGAGATCTCTCCAGTCAGAGAGAAAAAGTGGATCCAACCATAGCTTAGGAAACTCAAGACGTCCTTCACCAGAGAAGATCTCATGGAATGTGCTTGACCTCAAAGGAGAGAACTACTTCTCTTGCGCCGTGGGTCGTACTCGCACCAATGCTAGATATCTCCTTGGCTCACCTGACGACGTTGTTTGCTTCCTTGAGAAGCTCGCTGACACGACGACGTCTGCACCTTAATATACCGAGACGGTGTCAAGTGAGTTCATGTAACCCAATAAAAACTATTGTTTTGTAACAAAAAGCAGCCATTACCAGACTCTTTTAGTGGTTTGATTCTAATATAATAAGAGTAGAGCAACTTATGACAAAATTGTGAGCAAGAACACAAATAGATAATCAATAATAACTCAAGCTCTTATTACATATAATATTCAAACTACAAATACACCCCTAAGCAAATCTAACGAAAGAAGGGGTAATTAAACAATAACAAAACAAAAAAACGAAACTGATATTAAAGGTGATTAATCTAATGACGAATCACAATCTTTCTCTCTTCAGGTTTTCTTGTTTGGCTCGAATGCATACTTAATCAGAGACTCCTTAATAGAGAGTAGCTCAGGGAACTCTTTCTTGAGCTTGGAAGCATCCATCTCGTTGTTGCTTCTTGGAGCCACAATGACTTTAGCTTGCTCCTCTAATGTGAAGTTTGCCCATTTGAATTCAGGGTTGATGTAGTCTCTGTACATCTCTAGGATCTCGTTGTGGCTCACCACACCTGGGTTTGTGAAGTTCCAGATTCCTTTCAAGTTTCTTTTCGCCATCTCGATGGAGATAGGTAAAAGCTCGTCCAACACAGTCATGCTGTTTGGGATGTTCACTACTTTGTTGTATCTGGAGATCTTGGTGATGAAGTTGCGCGGGTTGTTTAGATCCGAGGAGATCGGCATCCTTACCCTCAATGTGCATACGTTGTCATACTCCTTTAGCAGCTCCTCAACCTGTAGACGCATTCATCATAACAACGATTAGCATACATAAGAAGGAGACATCGATAACGATAAGAGTATACAATCTTGACAGAGCAAGTACTAGTTATACCATGGCTTTGGTTTTTGAGTAGAAAGAGCCAGTGAAGTTGGGTGTGTCTTCCTCCTTGAAGCCAATTCCTGAACCTTCTGGATGCTTGTCGTCATATTCGAATATACAACCAGTAGCGAAATTCATCATCAGGAGTCCATGCTCTCTGCAGACATCAGCTAGAGTCAATGTGCCAGCTACATTGGCACGGATAGTCTCGGTCTTGTGAGACTCACACCAGTCAACATTGGGTCTCCCAGTCACACCAGCGGAATTGAAAACATGGGTTGGCTTAACGCTCTGAATATCCTGCAGAAGAGATGATCGATCCTCCAACCGACCTTTCCCATACTCGTAAGCAATTCCTTGCTTCTCACATATCTTTCCAAGCAGACCACCTATCCATCCGGTCTTTCCATATATCAAGAACTTCAGCGAAGGCTTTTGCGGTGTGCCGTTGCTCCTTGGGCTTGGAACAACCATATGGGTTTGACTTGGTTTCTCTGATAAAGTAGCTGCCAAAGAATTGTCCTCCGAGCCATCAAAGTGTCGCCCGCCAGGCATCATCAACATCCTTGGATGAGGAAGCAATGCTCCAGAAACATCACCCCACCACTCCGGGTTCTGTGTGTACCATTCCATAGTTTTCTTCAACCCTTCTTCCCACGTGGTCCTCTCTGACCATCCCAACTTTTTGAGCTTCTGATCGTCAAGGAAGTACCTTTGATCGTTAAAAGGTCTGTTCTCGACAAACTTGATGTTCGCCTCAGGGTCCATGCTGAAGAGTTTGCAGATATCTCTGGCAACATCATTCACTCTCCTCTCCTTCTTCGTCCCAATATTGTAAACATGGCCAACTTCACCCTTGTGAAGAATAACTTCAAATGCCTCAGCAACATCTTCACAGTACAGGTAGCTCCTAACATTTGACCCATCTCCATGAATGGGAAGAACTTGCCCTCTCATTGCCAACAAAATGAACTTAGGAATCAACTTCTCAGGAAACTGATTCGGTCCATAGACGTTATTTCCACGTGTGGTAATAACAGGCAACCCATAAGATCTACCATAAGCCATAACAAGCATCTCAGCACCAGCTTTCGTGGCAGAGTAAGGATTCGTCGGAAGTAGCTGAGAAGCCTCATGGTTACCAACAAGAGCATCCTCATCAGTTTCACCATAAACCTCATCAGTACTGACATGAATAAACCTCCTAATCTGACCAGTAACTTTACAAGCCTCAAGAAGCACATGAGTTCCATAGATATTATTCTTAGTAAACTCGAAACTGTTACCGAAGGAATTGTCGACGTGAGTCTGAGCAGCGAAATGCATGATGGTGTCGATACCTTCAGTGATGAGAAGATGATTCACCAAGTCAGCACTAGCGATATCACCTTTGACAAACTTGAAATTTGGAGACTGTTTAGAGGGATTGAGATTCTTGAGATTTGAACAGTAATCAAGTTTGTCAAGCACAACGATGTTGTAATCAGGATAGCTTCGTATGAGTCTGTTGGCGACATGTGATGCAATGAAACCAGCAGCTCCGGTGATGAGAATGTTCTTGGGAGTGTACGAACCCATGATTAAACGCTGCGTTTTTCAAGAATGGGATCACAATTAGCATAAGATTGAAAGAACTTGCATGTATCAATCAAATATGCAGAGAAATGAATGCGATATCGAATTAGCAGATCTAACGAAATCGAACGAATTTTGAACATTTTAATTGCATAAAACCTTAGATCCAGATCAGAGCAGATAATTAACATCCTAAATCTCGATTCTGTGGCAACGGAGAGTGATTATAACCATCGGATCAAACGAATTTTGAACATGTTCAATTGCATATAAACTTAGATCCAGATCAGAGCAGAGAAATAAACATCCTAAATCTCGGTATAACGATCGGAACAAAGAAAAAGTAGGAAATGATAAACGAAACTCAGTGAAGCATTATGATCAATGTAAATTTCGAGATAATGGAGTATGAGGAAGAAGAGATTCACGAAACATACCTTTGAATTTTCAGATCTTCAACGATAGCAAGAGAATTTTGGGAAGAATAACTGGAAAATTCCGAGAAAATGTGAAGAGTTTTCGACGGTGAAGAAGCTGAGGAAGAAGCGAAAGAAACGGAGAAGAAGAAGAATCAAAATTCAAAAAAAAGAGTCTTGTCGACACTGCAAAAATAGAAGATGAGAACGAACACAAAAGATGACTCCTGGAGAGGGAAGAGTCTACGGGAATTCTTTTTATATTGCTTTAACTTACGGAAATACCCTTTCCCTTTTCACTTATTTACAACGCGGGTAGGTACACGACTTGAGTCGCGTGTTGATGATCGCGCGTTTTGTCAAACCATTAACTTCGCATGTATACTAACCTCTTCTAGTCTAAATTCTGACTTAGAAAATCTGATTTTATAATAACAAAAAAATGAATAAATTTGAATTTGAGATATGAAGTAACGATCGTTAAAAAAGAGAGTATAAACAATGATTGTTGAAGATTTTAGATAAACTCAATGATGATGTTAAACAGTTTATCAAAAAAAAAAAATGATGTTAAACAAAAAAGGATTAGGTAAGTAAAACAAAGGACGGTTGGCTACAGTGCGTTTGCCATTGTGGTATGTGTTAGGTACCATGTGTGGCTCTCAAGTTCTCAAACTCTTCATATACTATCTAGGGACTTTTTCGTAATTTTCGCAGAGCAATCGACTTTGTAATGATTTATTTACTATTTTGATATGACTCTTTTAATATGGGATATGTAATCATTTATTGCACTTTCCCATATGCTTAATCAGATCACCGACACAGATACCATTATTGTCACTTATGACTTGTGAGTGAATCAATCACTAAAATATTTTTAATTGATTTGATTTTCTTAATCTCTTTGATCATTAACATTCAAAGACGCCGTTCTAGAGTTATTATGCGAAAGGGGATGATTTGTGTGAAAAATAGTTTCACGGGGGTAGAGTATAGAAACAAGTTTTTATTCAGGGACCATTTTAGCAAACAATGTGTTTAATTGAAAAAGGCACGTGAGACCACGTGAGTACATGTTTTGGTTTCTTCTTCATCGGTCCGATCAGAGTGAGAATTCGCCGGTCAGAGAAAAATGGCGTCTGCGATTTCTCTCCCTCTTGTGAACGGAGCAACGCCTTTGAAATCGAATCCGTCGCTCCAAAAATCTATGCTCACTCCACTCCATCTTCGAACTATCTCTTGTTCTAGGCTTTCTTACTCTTCCTCGAGTCGCGAAATTTCTCTCAAAACTCAATCTACTGTTCCTATTTCGTGTAGGCGTAGGTTTGACTTAGTTCCTCGTTGCGGCATTTCATCTAACGATTTTCCTACTGAGAAAAAGAAGAGCTTTGGCGAGTGGGTTGAGTTTGTAGGAGAGGCGGTTTCGACGGCGTTTCCGATATGGGTTTCTCTTGGATGCTTGTTGGGACTGATGAGACCAAGTACTTTCAATTGGGTCACTCCAAATTGGACCATTGCAGGTCTTACGATCACGATGCTTGGAATGGGAATGACTTTGACCTTTGACGATCTTCGTGGCGCTTTCTCGATGCCCAAGGAGCTCTTCGCTGGCTTTGTGTTGCAATACTCGGTTGGTTTTCCTCTCTCAATGCTCTATCTCCAGTGTTCAATTGTTGTGAATTATGCACAAATTAGAAGAGAAATCGGGAAAGATGAGATCTTGAAGGCACCAATGTAGATATCTGATCATAGTTTTGTTGGGTTTGGTAACATAATCTTGTGGAGGAACCAATGTGCTAATGATTCTTGTTTTATGATCTTACCAAATCTTAGTTTTGAAAGTGTAGTATTAGAGCATGGATAAGCTCATAGCTTGCTGATGAATCGTGTTGCAGATAATGCCACTATCAGCATTTTTTGTGAGTAAACTCTTAAATTTGCCACCACATTACGCTGCCGGTCTCATATTGGTTGGTTGCTGTCCAGGCGGTAAAATATACATTTCCTTACTTGCTTGAATTTTATTTAACATTCATGTAGTGCTCTTAAATCTGATGATTTTTCATTTGTTATCTGAAGGTACGGCAAGTAATATTGTCACATACATTGCACGGTTTGTAATCCAAACAAAAAGAAAAGTTTCTGAGTTCCATATGTTTCTTATACTACAACTGGATGATCTGAGTTTCTTTTTGTTTTTCATTGTACAGTGGAAATGTTGCGCTATCAGTGTTGATGACAGCAGCTAGCACTGTTTCAGCTGTGGTTAGTGACTTACTGTCATCGCTTTTTCCATTCTTCTTGTAGATTGAGACACCCCAATTAATCCATTATGTTTTCTAGATTATGACACCGCTTCTTACGGCGAAGCTTGCCAAGCAATATATCACAGTAGATGCTCTTGGATTACTAATGTCAACTCTACAGGTTTGGTTGGTTCAATCAGTTTCTTGTTCTGGTTAAAACGAGGGAGTTTTTGTCCATTGACTTAACCCTTCTTGGCTTCTGTTTGTGTGTGGTCACAGGTGGTTCTTCTCCCAGTGTTGGCTGGTGCATTTCTGAACCAATACTTTCAAAAGCTGGTGAAATTTGTTTCTCCTGTGATGCCTCCAATTGCGGTTGGAACCGTTGCAATTCTGTGTGGGTATGCTATCGGTCAGAACGCATCTGCAATACTCATGTCTGGGAAACAAGTAGTCCTTGCTTCATGTCTTCTTCACATATCTGGATTTCTCTTTGGGTATCTGTTTTCAAGATTACTCGGAATTGATGTGGCATCATCGAGAACTATCTCTATCGAAGTTGGCATGCAGGTAACTAAACAGTTCCTCAATTGAAACAGTAAACAAAGCTGTTTAAAACTCAATGTGAACTGAGGATTTTTTTTTTCATTTTGTTTTGGTGAAGAACTCGGTACTTGGAGTTGTTCTTGCGACACAGCATTTTGGGAATCCGCTCACTGCAGTACCGTGCGCTGTTTCTAGCGTCTGTCACTCAATCCTCGGTAGTGCCTTGGCTGGAATATGGAGACGTAGTGCCCCAAAACAGCTTGAAGACTGAAAAGAAAGCAAAGGAAAGTTCATGAAAAGTCTCTCACTGTTACTCAAACTGGACATTTTTCAGGACCATTTAGTTAAGTTTGTTGAACAAATGAACAAAGGGTTATGTCTTGTAAAGCTTTGGAAGAAATTATCTTGTTTTCTAAGTCTGAGATTTCTCTTGTTATTTCTGAATTCGAAACATGAATCATATTTTGTTCACAGTGATGAGGTTAAAAAGGCTATATATGTAATTTCCTACACTTGTGGAGGGTAGTTTTGGACTAGGAACAGCTAGTCTTGAATCAAAGACGTTCCAAGTCGTCTTCTCCAAATCGATTTTCTTTTACCTTTCTCTCTGATTCGATTTTTGTTCGGTTGGCTTTTTTTTTTGCGGAAAATTGGTTGTTGGGTGGATCAAAGCTTAGGAGATTTGTTTCGTTTGTTTTGGTGCTACAAAGTCCATGGAGGCGGAAGGAGAAGAAAGACAGTGGAGTTCTCTCATAGTACCTTCTGTTCTAGAGATAGTGAAAGAGAAGAACTTCGCAACTGTTCCTCCGAGGTATATTCGACCTGATCAAGAAAAAACTGAGATCTTAAATGATTCTAGTCTTAGTTCTGAAATTCCAGTCATCGACATGAAACGGTTGTGTTCAGTTTCCGCCATGGATTCCGAGCTCAAGAAGCTCGATTTCGCTTGCCAAGATTGGGGATTTTTTCAAGTTAGTCTCTTTACACACCTTGAATCTTTGTTTTTCTCTTTTTAAAAATGCTCCCTTGCTGTTTTTTTTTCTTTCAATTTGGTTATAGCTGGTAAACCATGGTATAGACTCGTCTTTCTTGGACAAACTAGAGACAGAGGTTCAAGAATTCTTCAATCTCTCTATGGAAGAGAAGCAGAAGCTGTGGCAGAGAAATGGTGATTTTGAAGGATTCGGACAAGTGAACATTGTCTCGGAGGATCAGAAACTTGACTGGGGAGACATGTTCATCCTCACCACTGAACCAATTCGGTCACGTAAATCTCACTTGTTCTCCAAATTACCTCCTTCTTTCAGGTAGGACTGTTGTTGTTGTGTGTAATTACGAATTAGTCTCTCACAACTGTAAATTGAAAAATCTGTTTTTGTTTTCAGAGAAACTTTAGAGACTTACTCCTCTCAAGTGAAGAGCATAGCTAAGATCCTTTTTGCGAAAATGGCGAGTGTTCTTGAGATCAAACAGGAAGAAATGGAAGATTTGTTCGATGATGTTTGGCAATCTATCAAGATTAATTACTACCCGCCATGTCCACAACCAGATCAAGTTATCGGTTTGACTCCACATTCAGACGCTGCAGGTCTCACAATACTATTACAGGTGAATCAAGTGGAAGGACTTCAGATCAAGAAAGACGGCAAGTGGGTTGTTGTAAAACCTCTTCAAGATGCTTTAGTTGTTAATGTTGGGGAAATCTTAGAGGGAGATTACTAGAAACTTCTTCCCATTGGTATGAAGCTGTTTTGTTGCTGCATTTTTTCTGATGTGAGTGTTTTGTTATTGTAAAGATCATAACAAACGGGAGGTATCGAAGCATCGAGCATAGAGCGGTGGTGAATTCAGAAAAAGAGAGGTTATCGGTTGCGGTATTTCATAGTCCGGGAAAAGAGACAATCATTGGTCCGGCGAAAAGCCTTGTAGATAGGCAGAAGCAAAGTTTGTTCAAAAGTATGAGCACACAAGAGTACTTTGATGCCTTCTTTGCTCAGAAACTCAATGGCAAATCTCACCTTGATCTTATGCGTATTTAAGGACAAGACCCTCATAAAACATGTTACAGTACCTTTAAAACTATATTATGTGGTAGACCTCGTAAATTTGTAAATTAAAGAGAAATCTTCTTCTTTCTTCTTTATCATTAAAGACATTAATACATACAGCTCTAATTAAGCATATGCAGAAAAAAAGTAACAAGAAAAGATTTTTAATTGGCTGAGCGTTGGGGTTTTCGGTGGACGCGAAGCAGCAGATTATAGCATTCCTCTTTGCCCACAAACACAACCAGTAAACCACCGGAGGACGAAACCAACCGTTATATTAACAGCCGTCGAAAAAGCACACAAGACGCGACGCCGGAGAGAAAAAGTCGAGGGATCAACACTTTCGACGATTTTTCATTTCCCTTTTAAGCTAATCGATGGGTCTGTATTGGTAACAAGACAAAAAAAAAGAGAGGGTTTTCTGGGTTTATAAGGGTTTCGTATACAAGTCGAGCTTTTTTTGGGGTGAAGTAATGGCGGGTGTATCTACAATTGAGACGGAGAAATACTCTTTGTTAGAAGATTTTAGTGTCGATGTTGAAGTAGATGATGAAGAATACGAAAGTTTCTCTCTTTGTTTCTGGGTTTATCTTCTTAATTCCACCACATTCCCATCTACCATCATTAGACAGGTGATTGATTTTCTCCAGATCAAAGCTTCTTATTATTGTTTCTCTCCGTGTTTAGCTGAAATGTTCCTCCTTTATTCATCGGACTCGGTTTTTTCCTCTGTTAGTTCTTTAACTTGTTTGATTTTCCTTTAGTCCTGTGTACTGAATTTACAAACTTTTTGTCCTTGGTGTGATCTATCTTCCTCGACTGTTGGTATCTGTGACAAAGAAGTGAAATTTGAGTTGATCTTTAGGTATTCGAGGAAAGGCCAATTCTCTGTTTCATTGTTTATATAGAGATTTTTTTAGTTGGAAATAGGATTTGTTCACTTTGTTCCTCATCTCTGATTTGATGTAGATGATGTTATTGATTTATAATCTAGTTCCATGATCAAGTAGTTTGTCTTTAACAGGTTCACTCAGACATGAGTGTTAGTGCACCTTTCCTTGTGCTAGATGAAAACAAGAAGATGATGCTTTTGCCATTGACTCTCCTTCACAAGGAAGCTCCTGATCCTGTAGACACTTCTTCCTGGACACAAGTTCCTAGCGTTTCTACAAAATCCAAGTTTCCTCTTCAAAAATGGGTTCATGTGGGTTGTGAGGTACGGTTTTTCTCAGGAATTGCAAGATCCTACATTTTCATTTTGAGATGGCTGATTCTTCTATTTTCTCAGGTTTCTAGAAATTTCATGAGGCTTTTTATTGATGGAAATATTGAAGGAGAGCAGTTTGTGACTTCTTTGCTGACAAAGAACACCAATCCCGAGTGTCCTCGAAAGATATCGCTATTTAGTGTTGGCGGGGATGGTTATAGCGTTCAAGGTTTCATCCAATGTGCACAAGTCTTACCTGCTAGTGATCATGTGGAGCATCATTATATGAAGGTCTCTGCTTAGTGCTTAACTCTTGCCCTTATTTTCCTTTAAAACAGTCTTGTTCTGTGTTTGTTTATTTCCATTATTCTTAAATTTTATTTTCTATTTTTGCCAGGACCCACCTCTATTGTTATCTGTCAATAAATCATCCTCATCGGGGATCAAATTAGATGATGATGGTGTTTGGCAGGTCAGAATTTTTAAAGCTCATTAGAAATTTTCCTGGCATTTATTTACATTTCCGCAGTCAACACTTACTTTCTTGCTCTATAGGCATCTTGCAGGGAGATTTTTTCCTTGGATGTTGTTTTATCCAATGCCATTGGCCAGCCTGTGCACAAGGATGTGGAGGTTCATTTATCTTACTATTTCTCATCACTTTTGGCACTAAGTTGCCTACTTTTTTAGCTTGGAAAATCACTGATTACATGGTTGGGTTTAAAATGCAAAGGTTGTTGCATCACTACTGTATGCCGATACACTTGTGGAGGCCAGGATGAGTGAAGCTGAGGCTCCTCTTTTGGTAAGAGATGAAGGAGTTGAATTCTCATCTGGTGATAGACCGATCAAATTATTAAACGGACGCTCATCCTTTAAGCTCAAGATCTCTCAGGTAAAAACAACACTTTACTGCATTTTTTTTATCTTTGTATTGCTTTTCTGCGACCACTTGTGTGGGAAAGTCTGACCATTTAGGTTACACATATTTCGCTTTTTCTGAAATTCTAAAGAATTGTTGTTAAATTTTTTTTCCAGCTTTCCTCCAAGAGTGATAACAGATTGTTCTGGATTAAATTTGGAATACGAAATGCTAAAGATTATCCTTTTCTTCAAGCTGTTTCCAATCCAATCCGTTGCATTTCGATCAGTCCTGATGTCCGGCCACTTTCTGTTACTCCGAAAAGGTTGACCAACATTGACCATCTATCAAGTACCGAGTCTCCGGACCTTCTACAGAACACGTCCTCAGTTAAACGAATCAGGTTGGGCAAAGAAAGTGTTTCTGGGAGCGAGGAATCATATCAACAATGCAACTCTCGTCCCCAAACCTCAAGACAGGTATATAGTGAAGCATTCTTTTTATAATGTTTTTAGTTGCATATCGTATACCAACCTTTACTGTTTCTGCATTGTTTGCTGTGGGAAGTTTGAGAATGGAAATGGCATGAGATTGCACGAAGAAGATAACTCTTCAACTGATTCAGAAAACTCGGAAATGAGATATACAATCTCAGATTCCACCATCTTTAGATACTGCCTTGGAAACATAATCGACAAATCTCTACTTCTAAAGGAAATCACAAACAACTCATCAGACGATGAAGTTTTGGAATTTGCAAATCAGGTTTCTCTGTACTCTGGATGTTCACACCATAGGTAATTTGAACCTAACGATCATAAATTTAGCAGAGAAGAATCTTTATTGCGATATACTGATATTGTGAAATGATTTTTTTTTTCTTCGAAATTTCAGCTATCAAATCAACATGGCAAGAGAGCTAATAGCCGAAGGAACAAATGCATGGATATTGATATCTCGGAACAATCAACATGTTCTTTGGGACAATGTGGTCTATGAGATTGAAGAACATTTCATGAGGATTTCAAAATGCAGCAGTAGATCACTCACCCACCAGGATTTTGAGCTTCTAAGGAGAATATCAGGATGCTACGAGTACGTAACTCAGGTGAATTTTGAGAAAATGTGGTGTTGGTTGTTCCCTGTTGCTTACTCCATATCCCGGGGCTTGATAAACGGAATGTGGCGTTCTTCGTCGCCTAAATGGATTGAAGGATTCATCACTAAGGAAGAAGCAGAACATTCGCTTCAAGGCCAAGAACCCGGAACCTTCATACTCCGTTTCCCTATTTCAAGAATCTGGCCTCACCCTGATGCTGGTAGTTTGGTAGTGACTTATGTTGGTCATGATTTCGCTCTTCATCATAAGCAACTCAAGATCGATAACATCTGCGAGTATATTTCTCTCTATTTGATCCTCCTCCCTAGACAAAATCATCTTTTTCATTAAATATCTGATTCAAATCACTTTTATTTTCTGCAGAAGTAGTGAAAGGTACATGGATGCAAAACCGCTGCAAGATATGTTGTTGGCTGAACCGGAGCTCTCTCGGCTAGGAAGGTGAGAAAGAGAGAACGGTTATCTCTTCTCTGTTGTGTTAGACCAAAAGATAAACTGAATATCGAGATTGAGAAACGTTGTTTTGGTTTTGATTTTTGTTTGTGCATGCAGGATCATAAGAAGCCATTGAATGATATGTGTGACGTTTCTACATTTTCGAATATACAGACGCTTAATCTCTCTTACAGTTAGTAAATTTGTATAAGCTAAGAGGGCTTAGCTAAGTCAGTCTCAAATTAATGTTAAAATCACAATTTGAAAGGAGCTTTTGAAGGAAACGACGTTTTATATAACAATCTCTGTGGTTGCTTTTGTCATTGGCAAAGTCGTAATCGCTCTTCTTCTCTACAAGAGATGGAAGAAGAGAAAACACCTGCCTCCACTAACCGTCTCAAGTAGTGTCGAAGCCCAAAGGGCACTTACAAAGCCCAACAGTTGGAGTTCCAGCTCACCCACTAGACCGTTATTACGTAAACGAATTTTTCAACGTTCGAAAACAGTTTACCTTTTTCCCAATGGGGGTATTTAGGTAATTTCCAATCTCTAGGCCAAGTTTTCCTTTTTCCAAGGGGTATATATGATCTTCTTATACATGTTGAGAATAAAGTCAACGACAAAAACTATGTGATAGCTGGTAAAAGCATACCCACCTCACGAGTTCTTTTATTACAACTATCATAAAGTGTTACATCTCATTTAATAATTTCAACAAAAAGCGGATGAATTTGATGTATAAACTCATTTTTCATTTCATACGTGATAATAATATATGAATTGTTTTCTTATGTGGCGTGTCCAATTGTTGGTAAGGATAACAAAAGTTGTAAACCTACTTTCTTTTCCTGTCTATCTCCGTTTTCACGTAACCAACTTCTTTGTCTTCTCTTCTTTTTCAAATCTTGATAATGAGATAACAAAAGAAAAACACTTTGAAGTTTTTGTGCAGAGAAACAATAATGGCTAATGCAAAGGAAACAACGTTTTATATAACAATCTCTGTGGTTGCTTTTGTCATTGGCAAAATCGTAATCGCTCTTCTTCTCTACAAGAGATGGAAGAGAAAGCACACAGTTCATGAAAATGGATTTCCAGGTATTCAACTAGCTTTATCTATGATTCTATGTGTTAATAATCATTTCTCTAATGTTTTACAACTTTGCAGTCAAAGGAGGAGGAAAAATGGTGATGTTTAGATCTCCATTACTTAACTCTGTTTCCTCCGACATGTTTATGAAGAAGACACATAAGCTAACCAACAAAGACATTCTCGGTTCTGGAGGATATGGAACTGTGTACAGATTAGTCATTGATGATTCAACTACTTTTGCTGTGAAGAGACTAAACAGAGGAACTTCTGAGAGAGACAGAGGGTTTCATAGAGAGTTAGAAGCAATGGCTGATATAAAACACAGAAACATTGTAACTCTTCATGGCTACTTTACTTCTCCACATTACAATCTTCTCATCTATGAGCTCATGCCTAATGGAAGCTTAGATTCTTTTCTACACGGTACGCACAAAACAGAGCATTAAGCACAAAAACGTGTATATGAGTGGTTTCTTCAACCACAAGTTTTTTTTTTTTTTTTTTTTTTTGCAGGAAGAAAATCTAGAGATAGAAAAGCTTTGGATTGGGCGTCAAGATATAGAATAGCGGTTGGAGCGGCTAGAGGGATTTCTTATCTTCATCATGATTGCATCCCTCATATTATCCATAGAGACATCAAATCTAGCAACATACTTCTTGATCACAACATGGAAGCTAGGGTTTCTGATTTCGGTTTAGCCACTTTGATGGAGCCAGACAAGACTCATGTTTCGACGTTTGTAGCTGGAACATTCGGATACTTAGCTCCTGGTTGGTACAACTGATAGATTCAAATATATAAACCAAGATTTAGATTGCATTTCGATTTTGTTCATGTTTGTTTTTGTATAAACAGAGTATTTTGATACGGGTAAAGCGACAATGAAAGGAGATGTTTACAGTTTCGGTGTTGTTCTTTTGGAGCTTTTAACCGGAAGAAAACCAACAGATGATGAGTTTTTTGAAGAAGGAACAAAGCTTGTTACTTGGGTAACAAGTTATCTATCTCTTTTCCTTGTTTAAGTTATTAATCTGGTTTGGTTTCAACTTTCAAGCGACGTCGTTGTGGTCTGTAATTGTATTGTATTATACAGGTGAAAGGAGTGGTGAAAGACCAAAGAGAAGATGTGGTGATAGATAACAGGATAAGAGGATCATCGGTTCAAGAGATGAACGATGTGTTTGGTATAGCGATGATGTGTCTTGAACCCGAACCAGCCATTAGACCAACCATGACCGAGGTTGTCAAATTGCTCGAATACATCAAACTTTCCACACGTTCTTCTTTTTGATGTCTCTCTTGTCAAATATTGCTCTATAAGAAAATTAGTTTCTTGAAATAATCAAATTCAATTCCAAATAAAGTTTTGCTGAAGAAAAAAGACTTCGAGATTCGCTTCTTTGATAACTGTAATAGATTATTTATAATTCATTTTTTTTGGTATGGAATGAAGGATTATTATACACAAAAAAAGCCCTATATCAAGTATTCTTTTTTAAGATTCTCGTACAAAGTGGGCATTGGATCTTAAAAATTTCCCTAATTTACAGCTCAGCACACGTTTTGATGTCTTGTTATTTGATCCCAATTGTTCTCACTACTACATTAAACCTTCTGAATCAATTAGCAACTACTATCTTTTTTCTTTTACTTAGCAAAACCAAACCAAACAGTACGTTTACATAACGACACTTTTGCTAAAACGCTTACTTTTCCTAGAAGCAATTTGCTGGATTGTTCACCTCAAAAGCCTGAAAACATTAATTAGCATTAGATATCTAAATAAAAGTAATAAACAAATCTTTGTTTCTTTTTAAAATTGTTTTATTTAATAAAAGAAAAACTAATCACTGATTCACTTGCTCATCATTTTTATATATACCAAACAGTGTAGAAGAGTTTTCTCACTCAAACAAAAATCAAACAATGGCTAAAGCATGGATCTGCCTTTCCTTCCTCATCATCCTCTACCTTTTCTCAGGTAAATAAAACTACTACTACTCACCATGCATCCTACTTATTGAATTTTACATTCAATGTCTCTCAAAGTTTTAACTTAAGAGTTTCCAATTTCAGTATAATAATAATCCTACTTAACAGTATCATCCTCATGTTTTTCCTTTTCATAGATCGAAACTTCATCAAAGTCAACGCAGAGGTATATGCTTAGACCAACTATCAAATTGCTATCTGATTTTTTTCTTACTCAATGAGTTTTTGTTCTAAGTTGTTGTTATAGACCAAGACTTGGTGTGTGGCTAAACCTTCTTCAGATCAAGCAACACTTCTAGATAACATAAACTTCGCATGTTCTCATGTTGATTGTCGTGTTCTTTCGAGTGGATGTCCATGTTATTCCCCTAGTAACCTCATCAACCATGCTTCTATCGCCATGAATCTTTATTACCAAGCCAATGGAAGAAACTATTGGAACTGCAATTTCAAGAACTCTGGACTCATTGTCATAACTAATCCGAGTGAGTTTGCTCTTTCTCTTCAATTTGCTATTTAAAAACACTTCTAGATATAAAAAAAGGTATCAATGTATCATCAGCTTACATTAAAGTTAATTTGATTTTTTCTGTATGTGTAGGCTATGGAAACTGCTACTATGAATACACATGAGCAAGAAAAAAACCATATTTGTTACAAGCAAACAGAGGAGGAATGTGTTTTCTTGTTGTTGCCATGTTTATGAGTTGTAATTTAAATTTCCAGAGTTCACAGATTTTGACTAATCATATGTTAAATGAAATGTTTGATTCCGCTACAATCATATTTTTTAGCATAAAAGCAAAAAAGAAAGTATCCAACAATTATCAAAATTTGATCACAATTATTCGATCTCATTTTCAGTAATGACTAAACCTAATTACGTACTGACGTTAAACATAGAATTTACCGTAATTAAGCTCTTAAAATTGAATTCTTCACCACATTAACAGCAGAAAAAAAAAGGACTTGTAAAAGTATGTTTGAATATTGGAATTTGGAAATATGTAGAACAACAACGTAACGTTTTCTTTTCTTTTTTCTTTGGTGTCAGAAAGTAACGCATTCTAAAGATTTTTTTTTATAAAAAAGGAAAGGTAACGTATTCGATATACTCGAATGTTAGTAAGTTAAACCATTGGATAAGTGACACGTGGTGAGATCTTAGCCTCAAGATTAGATAATCAATCGTTTCCCTCTTCTCCTTGGTATTGAACAGAAAAAAGACAGTCGTCGTCACTTTGGTGCCTCCGAATGATCTCATGTGGGCTTGTCTCGTCCACCCAACAAAAGTAATAATAGAAAAAACTCGATCCGCAACTACTTGATTTTGTATTTTTGTACACCTTTTTTTTGTTGTAATTTTTCCACACACCCAATTTTCCCGTGGAAGAAAAGGAGTCAGTTTTTTCGTTGCTTTTAAAGCTTCAATCTTTACAGAGTTCCATAGAGCTTCATAATCCCTATTTGCCCAAAAGTATTCAAAGCTTACTGGGTTTTGTGAGAATGATGACGTCATGTCGGAATATAGATTTAGGTACGATGATGATGGCATGTGGTTGTGGCCGTCGTCAATTTCCTTCCTTAGCGAAGACTGTTGTTTGTAAGTTTGGTAGCAGCAATAGAAGCTATGGCGGTGGGAATCTCTTGGGGAGTTGCAAAGCGGTGCCCACGAAATCAAAGGAGATCTCTTTGCTCAACGGTATGTATAGTTCTCGCTAAAGTCTTTAACTTTTTTTTGTTTCATGTGATAGATTTCTGATTTTGTTTGACTCTCTCTAAATGTTCGTGAATCTTGTTCTACAAATAGTTATTGATTTCTTAAGATTCTCTTGGAGTTTATGCTTATGCCTCATGAGATGTGTAGGTATTGGTCAAGCTCAAACAGTGACTTTTGATTTGAGGCAAGAGTCTAAACAGCCTATTTCGTTGCTCAATCTGTTTGAGCTAGTAGCTGATGATCTGCAGACTTTGAATGACAATCTTTTATCGGTTAGTATTCGAAGAAACTCAGTTTTTCGCATTGTCATCTTCTATTCTGTGTTTGAAATTGCACTAGGGGATTTACAATGTTGTTCTTTATAGATTGTTGGTGCGGAAAATCCGGTTCTGATATCTGCGGCTGAGCAAATTTTCGGAGCTGGTGGTAAAAGAATGAGACCGGGTTTGGTATTCCTTGTATCACATGCCACGGCGGAATTAGCAGGCTTAAAGTGAGTAATCTTTAGACTTTCTTTTTTGTATTCCTTTCATTCAATTGGGTTTCCATCTTTAGCACAAAATGATCATATTCAGATGTCTTGATGCAGGGAACTTACAACAGAACACCGGCGTTTGGCCGAGATCATCGAGATGATTCACACTGCAAGCTTGATACACGATGACGTGTTAGATGAGAGTGATATGCGAAGAGGTGAAGTTTGGTTATTAGTTATGATGATTCATCTGTTTTTTTTTTCTGATAAAAATGTTTGGTTTGGTTAAAACTTAAAACTCTCTGTATAATTGCAGGAAAGGAAACTGTTCACGAGCTTTTCGGCACAAGAGTAGCTGTGTTAGCTGGAGATTTCATGTTTGCTCAAGCGTCATGGTACTTAGCAAATCTCGAGAATCTTCAAGTTATTAAGCTCATCAGTCAGGTACGTAATTACTTTTGCATTGTTTCTTCTATGAGGTTGTGCTCTAAATCGCATTTCACTGAATAATCGCATTTCAGGTGATCAAGGACTTTGCAAGCGGAGAGATAAAGCAGGCGTCCAGCTTATTTGACTGCGACACTAAGCTCAACGACTACTTACTCAAGAGTTTCTACAAGACAGCCTCTTTAGTGGCCGCAAGCACCAAAGGAGCTGCCATTTTCAGCAGAGTTGAGACTGATGTGACAGAGCAAATGTATCAGTTCGGGAAGAATCTCGGCCTCTCCTTCCAGATAGTCGATGATATTTTGGATTTTACTCAGTCGACAGAGCAGCTCGGGAAGCCAGCAGGGAGTGATTTGGCTAAAGGTAACTTAACCGCACCCGTGATTTTCGCTCTGGAGAAAGAGGCAAGGCTGAGAGAGATCATTGAGTCTGAATTTTGTGAAGCGGGTTCTCTGGAAGAAGCAATTGAAATGGTGAGAGAAGGCGGGGGAATCAGGAGAGCACAAGAATTGGCTACAGAGAAAGCTAATGACGCGATAAAGAATCTGCAGTGCCTGCCTCGAAGTGCTTTCCGGTCAGCTCTAGAAGAAATGGTGATGTATAATCTCGAAAGAATTGATTAGCTTTTCCAACAGAAGTTAGAAAGGTTGAGATGAGACATGCTTATAGACTTATAGTACAGTAAAGCACACACAAAAGAGGATTTGGCTGTAATACAGAGATTGTAACCTGGTGAAAATCCTTAGCATTTCAAAAGCAATAACACATGATTTCGATTAGATTTGTTGATCCAATAAACGTCGACATTATTTTGTAAAGATGTTTTGACTGACAAGCAACACTTAGCAGAAAATGATAAGTGTTGTTAAGTCATTACAGAAGCAACGTCAAAGAGTGTTTCATAGAATAAGCTTTGGATGGGAAGTCTGCATTAGAGGAGCAGGCGCAGAGCCTTTGTGTAGTATGTGAGCGCCCAAAGAGTGAAAATGTTTCTATAGGTTGCATAATGGACCATCACATTCATCTTGAACACTCCCATTATTTCCTGCATTTTGTGGCATATAGAGTTATTTTGTATCAGATTGAAGTGTAAATTGGAAAAAGAAAAATGACAATTACCTCTTGCGGGAAATCGCCATTATCCATTTGGGAATTGATCAACACTTTAGCTGCGCGATGAACAGGCAAAGGGTCTCTCTCCATCTGACCACCCATAATCAGAACCATCAGTGCTTGTCCTGTATTCACCACATTGCTTCTGTTTCCCTCTAGAGGTGTATATGTCTTCCTGGGGCAAGATAGATAACTCTCACCCCAACCGCCTTCAACGTTTTGTGTCTCCAGAAGGAACTGAACTGCTCTACGAATCGGCTCACAGTTCTGGTACGTCTTGCCTGCAGCCACTAGACCTCTTACCGCGAAAAAGGTTCCATACATGAAACACACACCCCAGTTTCCATACCACGAACCATCGGGCATTTGAAAGCTCTCTATGTATTTGACACCATTCTTGATAAACCTTTCAACCTCTTCCTTTCTGTGCTCCGGATACTCTTTCAAGAACCGAGCCAATGCCACAATCGCAGACCCCGTACATTCTACATACCTAAACGAAGCTCCATATATTCCATAGTATAAAATATAAATCATTCATTTATCCAGTAACAAAAGAAAGCAAAACAAAAAAAATTGATGTGGTAAAGATAGTACTCATGCTCGACGATTGTGTCTTCTATAAACTCCACCGGACTAAGCCACTGCAATTTATTTTGAGGCATTAATTACTGTTACACTAAAAACACAAAAATAGTAAGAAAAATTAAAATAAATACCTCTAGCCAGGTTCTTCCACGAGCTGCCTCCCACACTGCTATGCCTCCATTTTTGCTCTGTTAAAATTTTGTAACAAATTAATATCATTAATCACTAGCCGTTGTGGAGTTTTGGTTATAAAATTATAATACCTGAAAATAGAGAAGCAGATTAACGGCATCATAGAGCCTCTCTACATCCATTTTCTCCCCAATCAACTCCGATGGCATGCTTCCAAAGACAAGGCAACACTGGCCAGCCAAGTGTAAACCGCGGTTAATCCTCAAACGTTAGTTAATTGATCGTAATATGTTACTTAATTAAAGAACTAATAACCATTGGAGTCAGAACCTCTAAACTCTCAGCAGTACAATCCGAGACAGGCCATCCTTGGTCTTGGTCCGAAAATGTCCATCCTCCTTTCGCAATATCTTTCAACATTTTCCTATGGTCACCGGGAGGGTTTTGTGTAAGCTGAGATTTATCCAAGAAATTGTATCCTTTGATTAACGTTGATCTAATCTCATCATCATCGTCATCAACATCTTGATAAGCTAACATGACTTGAAGTGAGAATGCTGTATCCCACAATTGGCTACCAAAAGACTGCACCAAATAACATTCTCTAATAAATTTAAACTTTAACATTTTCGAGACAGAGTTATAGATTTCCAAAACAGAGTAAATAAAAAAATAACTCTAATGGTTTAACTAACTTGGATTTTCAGACCATCCTCTCCAATCCATATATAATCGGGGACTCGAGCAAGATGTTTCTTAAAATAATCACCGTCGGGGTCTTCTACCCAACAAGCAAGCATATGAAACGGCTATATCAAAAATCAAACAACAGTGGAAATCATTAGAATACAAGTTAGGGTGGGTACAAAAATAAACTTCTCTTTTTATCACTTGTATTATTGCGGTATATCAAGGAAATTTTACCTTTGGCACACATCCACCGGTAAAGTATCTGCTGGCTTCATCTTGATAATGTAGGAGCTCCATTGTGGTTCGAAGAGCTTTTTGCCTTATGAGCTTGTTGAAAGGCCATCGACTCAGGATATTCTCTGACAAAGTATGAACACCTTTCCAAAACATTTCTTGTAAAAATGACTGTGGATAGTAGAGATCTTCCTGCATCATGACATTTTTTTTTAATTATGTGATAATTCATTGGTCTCGTGTACATTCAAGTTTTTACCTTTGCGCACAGATTGCGAGCTTGACTCCATAAGATTTTGTCATAAGGTTGAGGATAAAGCTCTTCCCGAAGCTGTAAAATGAGAGGTGTTGGTGTAGCTACAAATTTCTTACCATACAAGTATGACACGCCCATGAAAATGTCCCGGAAATAAATCCATAGAGTACCTGTTTACACATATGTTGATTAGAGACATGCTTAATTGGACCAATCAATTTAAAACCATAACAATTTATATCACAGAATGTGGAAGTGGAACCTCCGTTGAAGGGCGAAAAAGAAGGGAGCATCCACACCTCAGGCGGTATGGGTTTGCAACCGGACCAATTATACACTCCAAGGACCTTTGTGAGAAAAATCACAACACAATCGATGATAAAACTGTAAGCACTCGTCGAAAATAATAGAAGCTAAGGACAAAAAAAATTAGGAAAATAAGCTAAGTCTTCCGCGGATGCCATGCATAAATACCGATAGCCAAGCTTTTCCGATCAAGGGCGTATATGTAGCACCACCGTGATCAAGGATCCACTTACGAGCCCTTGCACAACCACTTCCTTTAATATCATCATGATCTGCTTCTACTCCAAAAATCCGTAGGCAAATGTAGTTGATGACCGTGCAGAACATAGCACTTTGGCCTTCCACGTGTAGTCCCCACCCACCATCTTCGTTCTACAAAAATAAAAAATTATCATCGTAGTTAACGTCAGAGAACTATCATAGTAAATATCAGAGAGGGGCTTATCTATATATGATCAAATGTGTTACATAAGATACGAGTACCTGATGGTTGTACATGTAGCGCAATAGTTCTTTGCGATGTTCCAAAGTCAAGATTTTCTCCAAATGTCCAGTGATGTACAAGCATATGACCTAAAATATTTTTATCATTACAGTTTACATATAAATATTTGATGAATAGAAAACAAAAGAATAATTTAGTGTTAGTAGAGAGAGTGAAGGATAGCTCACAAAGGGAGCTTCGAAGAACAAGGAACCAGAGTTTTCAGCAGGCCAATGTCCATCCTCAGCTTGCAATGCCTTGAAATATAGTATCCCTCTTCTCAGTGCCGACTTTGCGTCTTTGTACGTTATCTTTTCCGCATCTCCTATTTCCACTCTTGGAATCTTCTGCTCGAACTTCTTCTCCCTTAGAAACTATCAAAATCCATCCAAAACAAAAAACAAAAACACAAACTCATATTTTTCCCTACAATATGTCCAACTATATCATCAAAAAGTATTATTCCACCAAATAAAACACTGCATCTAACAATGGCAAACTCATGCATGTTAAAAGCTCCACCTGCATTCGCCAAAGGAGATCAGCACTGATCTTGTAACGTGACCGGTTTATGAAGAAATTCTGGCGAGCTTCATTGACCTCAGCGAGTTCCTCTGGGGAGCATGCATCGGCATCAAACTCCCAAGTTTGTCTTCCGGTGTAGTTGTTGGTGGTGAACAAGTGAGTCTCATCTCCGCCCTTAGCTCCGATCTTCAGCCTCCACATTTTGTATCAAACCTTTTAGTAAGTCATGAACAATAACATGATCTTTACATATAACAATGGACCACATTTAAATAGTGCCATCACATTATGTAAGCTTTCTAAACGCAAGCTTGCTCAGAAAGATGATGACACCTAGCATCCCTATGTTGATATGTGTCTTTCCTCTCAAACTTCCATTAGATTTCATGATATATTTTAGAAAATATCTAAAACAATATTGAGGAGACACATTTTTGTTTCTTTCATTTAAAAAATTTGGAAAGAGATAACAGTTAATCTTATATAATAAATCAATTTCTCTAAAAATTAAACAAGCTCTCAAAAGGTCGTAACATTTAACATTCCTCCTTTTGACATATGTCTTTTTTCTTTCAAACTTTCATTAGATTTTATTATCTTATTATTATAAAATATTCTAAAAAAAACACATTTTGTTTTTATCATTTAAAAAACTGGAAAGAAATAACATTAAGCTAGACACATTTTTTTCTATTTTTTTCTTCGTTTTCTTTTCACTATATTTAAAAATTGACATATAACAAATTTATATTAAATTAAATTAAATTAAATATATATATAGATATATATATATATCTTTCACTATTTCTTTATTGGGCTATTTGATATTCTCATTCCTTAAAAAAAAACATATAAGACACAATTGTTTATCTTTAATTACACATTTAAATCCATCAATGTAATTAATAAATAGTGATTACGATTAATAACATCAAATCCCTATGTGAAAAAGGTAAATCTATATTAATGTTTATTGTTTTGAAAAGTCTTCAAAACGTCTGTGTGTCTAAAATTTATTAATTTTAACACCTTTGTAATTGTAGGGTTTTATTTTCAACGTCAGAAAGGTTGGCTTCCACTACAAGAAAATAGGGATATTGCAATACTGGAAATTGTTGCTATATGCCTAAATAACGTTGCAAATATAGAATTGCAATGAACAGGCGACCAATTTTATATCGTTGTTGATTGAGCGTTGCAAATTTGTATTTGTCGCACATACTTATATGAGGTTATGCAACTTATACTCATTTCATTGAACAACGCTGGTGATCAAAGACTTTGCAAGCAGAGACTTTTAAGTCATCATTACAGAAGCAGCCGCAAAGAGTGTTTCATAGAATAAGCTTTAGATGTGAACAGGCCCCATGTGATCAGATTCAAGACATATATAAACAAAGTTGAACTCATTCGATAAGAGAGGTACTTTTTAAAATTACATAGAGCATATATAAAGACTCCAGACATTTTACGGAAGCAGGAATTGATATAATGATCTGATTATTAAGATTTGGAAACTGCATGGTTCACTTGGTAGGAGACTGGGAGATGTTGATAAGCAGATCCTTAGTGAATTGAAGGAATGGTGAACGAGTGATCTCGGAGTCTTGGACCACTGAGAAATCGTAATATGCGACAAGATGATGAAGAAAGATTGCCATCTGAAGCCGCGCAAACTCTGCACCTACACAAAGTCTAACTCCACTTCCAAACGCCATGAACGTTTTAGACCCCCGAGTCATTTCTTTCCCCTGCCAATCAACCAACCAAATCCCATCTATAGGTTTACAAAAGATGATGGAGAAAGAGAAAAAAAAGCAGCTGAAATTATAGTAAGTGTATAATTTAGACCTCCCATCTCCATGGATTAAACTCGAATGGGTTCTCATAGTTTGTAGGATCATAATGAACCGCTGAAGGTGCAACTGCCACAATCCAACTAGCCGGAATTGTATATCCTGCACAGAATAAAAGCTTCTTCTAGTGATTCAGATAATATTTTTATACATATATAACTTTCCAAGTAGTACTTGCCTTTGATCTCAACATCGTGCAGTGCCTTTCGGAACAATAAAGGGGTCGTGTTTGATAGGCGAAGCGACTCATTTATAACCTACAGATTAAAGTCATATCTTCCACTTGTAAATATCTCATTATCCAGGGTAAATCAGAAAGATACACACAAATATGTATACATGTAGATGGGGTATTTACCATGTTTGTGAAAATCATGTTGTGTGTGTATTCTTCCCAGCTAACTCCAGCTTTCTTATATTTTCTGTTGTCTACAATTGCCTTATGCTCACGCTGTGCCACATTATATATATATGACTCTATCAAATCCATCCACACTCTTGTTCTTAAAGACGATAGCCATACTTGTTAGTTGTTTCTTATATATTACCTTGAGCTCTGCAAGCACTTTCGGGTCTTTGGATATGAATTTCACGGCCAAAGCAGTACAACTGGAGGTACCTTCTCTCGCGACGAATGCCAGAAGGAAGATGAGGTTTGTAGCGGATCCTTGGTCGAAAATGCTACCTTCTTTCTCCAGTTCTTCTAGCATCGTGTTGAGGAAGTCTTCTTGCTTCTCTCGCGACTCTTTTCTCATACTGGGAACGTCTTTCATCACCTGGATCGCTTCTCCGCGTGACTGAATACAACAAGCAATTAGTAGAGAAAACATGTGCTATTTTTAATAACTACTAATATAGAAATTTCCTAAAATACTAAAAAGGAAATGTTTTAAGTCACCTTGAGGACTTTGATGAGAGCTTTCCAAGTAGAGAGACTAAAGAAGGACTGAAACCAATCAAGATTGAAGGCGTTGAGATTATCTATAAGCTTTGAATGTTGTCTCTGGTTTAAGGTTACTTATCAGCTTTGGTGTCATGTACGCCACTATCAACTGGAATTTAGGAAGAGTTTAATTATTGGTAAAATTAGAACACTACACTATCTACGAGCTGAAATTGGTAAAAGAACAAATGGAGATGTGTACACTTACGTTTTCAACTTCTTTACGAACATTGAAGCTCCCCTGGCTAGCCTTCGATCTAAAATGGCCGCGGGTCGCTTTGTCCATGTTTCCTATCATTGTTTGCTTTAAACCCTCTGAGCCAATAATTTGCATAGTGATTTTTTGGAGGTACTTGTGGATGAACACTTCCTTCAAGAACAAGTTATCTTTTCCAAATACTTTCACAAGTATGTCCGGATAGCCTAGCCCAAAAGACGTGTTCTCTTGCCGGAAAATCTGGTTAATTACATCTGGATCCGTCGAAACCACGGTTTTGGAACCGAAAATGTTTGTCCGAAACAACAGTCCATACCTGGAAGGGATTCATACAAACACAAAGATTACCATATATATACAACACAACAGCTCTTCACGTTACATATAATTGAAATCTAACCTTATCATCCTCTTCTTTACAAAGGTTGGGATATCATTGAATCCACAAGGCTTCAAGAAATCAACAGTCTCTCCAATGATTGGAAAACCCATAGCTCCCGGTGGTAACTTGCCATTACACTTAGGGTTTGACCATCGGTGAAGCCAGTGGCTGATCCTCACAACCACTAAGGCTATTATCAACATTGCAACGTTCCATATGGAGCTCATCGTGCTGCCTCTCAAGTGTTGACCACAAAGACAACTCTTATCGAGGTTATGGATGTTGTAGTGTCGTATAGAAATCAAGTACTAAATTTCCAGTCACGTTTTAGTTGTTGCAGTAATTATAGCAAGTTCTAGAATAATAAGCAACTCGAAGAATACATTAATAAATAGATTTTTCTCTTGCACCATGCCTGAAGCTATATCTCACTATATTTTTTTCTTATCTTTAGTATACTTGTCCGGGTCAGATTTTTGAGAATTTCCGGGTGTGATATGAAAAGTCAAAATTCACTGATTCACCAATTCTCTTACCTTTTTCTAATCCATCACACACATATATAATTTTCAAAAGCTAAAATGATAGACAAAACGTACAAAAGAAAACAAGATTCAGTAATACGTCAAACATCAACAGCAAAAAAAATCACCATCCCCATTATTGCATTATATATCAAAGTACTAAGTTCCTGTGTGGTTATAAATCACCATCCCCAAGCAACCGCATGTGACAAACAAAAAGCAGGACATAAGCTGTGGACAGTCACGCACCCAATATCTTTTATCTCCCTGAATATCTTCTTACATTGATGAGACATTTTTATGTAACTACAAAAAAATTGTATTATTTTCAAGTGTTTAAAACTAAAATTAGTAAAAAAAACCCTCAATTTTTAAAAGAGTTTGACTCTAAACATTTGACGTTACTCCCGTCAAAGAATCGAAACGGTATTTTATTTTTCGTTAACGGAAGATGTGATAGTCAAAACCGACGAAGTAAAATAAAACCAAACCGAGTTACCTAAAATTAAACCGCATCATATTCTAATCCAAATGAAACCTAAAATTAACCCTAACCATTAGCAGAAAAAATAGATAACCAAAGCTTGTCTTCCTTATCTCAAATCGATTCGGGAAAAAATTCATGACTACTGTCAAAAGACGCCGTGGAATCGCAAGTTGAAATCCAAGCCTCATTATAAAATATAAACCCTAAAATCGAAGCTGTAAACTGTCCACCGGAGCCTTAGGTTATATTATATGGGCCCTAAAAGGTTATGGGCCATGTGTTAAACAAATTATTCGAACAAAAACTTATGTTTACAAAGTTGAGTAAACGCACAGTTTTTGAAAGAGGCGAAATTCGAGCAAGTGATCCCGCCGGTGAAGATTGACGACGGCGAAGGCATAACTCATGACAATGCGACCGATGCGTTACGGAGAGGAGTTTCTTTCTTCTCGGCTTTGCAGAGGCTTCCGATGGTCACTGGCCTGGAGAAATCACCGGACCTCTCTTCTTCCTTCCTCCATTGGTATGTTTCTTCTTCGTTTTCCTTTCGATTCTTAGTTCATGTCTATCGGTGAATACTCTTAGGGTTTGAATTAGGGATTTAAAGTTTCTATTGCTCAAAATTTTAAAGAAAAGCTGCGTTCGTAACTCATCAACCTATGAGGCTATGACACATGTCTCACTAATCCACATCTCTAAGGCAAGATACACCGATTATTATCTATATCCCCTTTATTGTAAATGTCACTTGAGATCAAATTATTTTCAAATTGTTACCATCACGTCTCGTAATAGCGTTAAATCAAATTGGTGGATTTAATAGATAGAAGAGTGTGGACTGTGTTTCTACAAAATTCACGCAATCAGAAAGTAAGCAAGGTCAAATCTGAGTTTGAATCAGAAATTTTTGCAGTTTGGCACCTTTTGTTTATAGAAAATGAGGTTAATTAATATTTGTATTTTGACTCAAAAGTTGACCAAAATAAAACCATACTCAAACTTTCACTATAATGAAACCTCCATCACCAAACTAGCGGATAACGATTTATACATAACGGATACTGACATAACTTAAGCACATGTCATTTCATTTGTGTACAAGACTGAAAAGTTGTATAAAAATAAAGTGAGTGCAACAAGTTTCTCCAAATATATGTATCTTGCATTCAAAAACTGATTAATCACGGGTTAATTTTGGTACCACAATAATTGACCAGTCTATGGATCATTCTCCAGCACATACATATTGTAATTGGAACCATACAATTGTGTAAGAGATAGACAAAACATTCAAAGAAAACGTGATTGTTTCAGTAATACGTCAAACATCAACAGAAAAAAATACATATCATATATCAAAGTCAATAAGTCACTGTGTGGTCATATCGAGCCAAGCAATTGCATGTGACGAATTAAACAAGTGCAGGACAGAAGCTGTCTCAATGTCTTCAATTTTCCTGAATATATTTTTTTTTTTGGTGCAAAAAATATCTTCTTATATTAATGATTTGTGAACTTTTGATGGGAAATAACTGAAAAAAAAATTGAACTCTTTTAAACTTTTTTTTTTTTGAGAAATCCCTTTATACCTCATAAAACTAAAGCAAGTAAGAAAAGAGGGTAAATAAACATTCGTCTTTTTTTTTTTTTTTTTATGAACATTCGTCTTCCTTATCTCAAAAATCGATAGTTACGATAAAAATATCGACTCAACGTATGGTTCCATGGTGTTAAAGTCGATATTTCATTACTTGAATCGTACGTTGAAATAAGCCGTGAAATCGTTAGAAACCCTAAAATCGAAGCTGTGAACTGTCCAGCTGTGCCTTACATTATGTTGGAAATTGTAAAATTAGGTCATCTTTTTCTTTTCAAATTAGGTTATGTATTTTGTATGATAACTGTATTTGGATTTATTATTTGAAGAATCTCATTTTTTTTTTAACTTGTTTATGTCTATATGTGTTTTAACACGGAACTGGAACGACGAATTCCGAAGTTTATGTTTTTTGCACTGAATCACGATGAGATGAGATGGCAAGTTTTAAACCTTGTAAAATCATAATTCGACGAGATTAAAATGAGTTTTCAAAGACGTAAATTAGCCATAGGTTGGTTTTGATTCCATCACTCCCTGCTTTTTCTCGCTAGAAAACGTTTATTACCACTTTAGATATGAGATTTATATCTTTGGTGGATGCATCAAGGCCGAGTTGGTCTCCCCTGCCCTGATTAGATAGAATATGCATCACAGTAAATGCAACTTTATGTCTGCATAAATTAGAAAACTTTATAGAAAAGTCTTCTTCATAGACAATAATGTCCCTAATGATCAATTATTTGGTACCACCTTTGAATCTTTGATGGTACATATATGAGCGCAAAGCTCTCTTTCCTCTTGGATTTGTATGTCTTAGTGTAATCATGAATATTTAAGTTTTCAATTTTTGAAAAAATTCTTCGTCATGAAGACTTACGTATTTGGAACCACATGAGTCTGAGGCAGGAAAGAAGATTGTTACATTACATAATTTTATAATATAATTATTTAAGATTTTGGAAACTATAGTCGTCCTCACTTGGAGTTGGAAGACTCTGAGATGTTTAAAAGGAGGCCTTTGGTAAAGTGAAGGAATGGTGTTCGAATCAACTCGCAATCTTGGACCAACGAAAAATCGTAAGTGGTGACAAGATGATGCAGGAACAATGCGATGTGAAGTCTTGCAAACTCTGCGCCTACACACAGTCTCACTCCACCTCCAAACACCATAAATGTTTTAGATCCCCAAATCATTTCTTTCCCCTACCAACGAACGAAAATTCTATTAATTACAGAAGTGGAGACCAAAGGAGGTTGAAAATAGAGAGTAAGTTCAAACCTCCCATCTCCATGGATTAAACTCCAAAGGGTTCTCATATGTTGCTTCATCAAAATGAACCATTGCAGGCACAACCGCCACTATCCAGCCTGCTGGAATTGTGTATCCTGCTTACCAATAATGTTCCCCAAAGTTTAGTAGTTTAAAGTAAATATATGTAGATGTAAACACGACAACATGACTAATATTCTTGCCTTTGATCTCGACATCCCTCAACGCTTTTCTAAACATCACAGGACTCAAGTTTGCCAGTCGAAGTGACTCACTGATAACCTACAATGCGTAATCTAGTTTAGCTTTGGCTCATTTAAATTATGTGTAAATCACTTTATAACCAAAAAAAAAAAAAATTGTAAATGACCGTAACTTTTGTTTTTAATTTGCTATTTATTACCATGTTAGTGAAACTCATACTGTGTCTGTATTCCTCCCAACTAACTCCGCCTTCTTTATCTTTTCTGTTCTGTAGGATCGCCTTATGCTCTCTCTAAACCACATTATAAGCGAGAACTTTGTTATATACCAATTCGATCTATATACTTCTTCTGCTTAAAATAATAACTAATCCATATGATATAGATTACCTTCAGCTCTGCAAGGGCTTTTGGGTTTTGAGATAAGAATTTCACAGCTATGGGAGTGATATTAGGAACACCTTCTTTAGCCACGACTAGTATACTGAAAATGAGGCTTAGAGCCGATCCTTGGTCAAAAATAGTGTTTTCTTTCTCCAAATCTTCCAGCATCGTGTCTACAAAGTCTCCATGCTTCTCTTTCGACTCTTTCCTCCTCGTTAGAACATCCTTTATCACCTCGATTGCTTCTCTGCGTGCCTGGATATATGTCAAACTTCATGATTTGTAGTTTATATATATAACCTCTAGTTTTTTTTTTCTTTTTTCGATGAGAATTCCTTAGCGGAAGCAACATGTTATTTAATATAAGAAAAAGAAAAAATGTTGGTGACCTTAAGGACTTTGTAAAAAAGCTTCCACGTAAAAAGGGCAAGAGGTGACTGAAACCAATCATAATTGAAGGACTTGATATTATCCATAAGCTTCGTTTGAGTCTCTGGATTGAGGTTACTTATCACCATTGATGTCATTGACGCCACTACCATCTGCAAAGAAAGAGTTTATATATTTCAAGCAGAACTGAAATTGGTCAAAGATAAATTACAAGTTGATTAACGTACGTCTAAAACTGTGTCTCTAACGTCAAATCTGCTCTCACTAGCCTTCAATCTAAGATGGTTGCGGATATCTTGGTCCATGTTTCCTATCATCTTTTGCTTCAAACTCTCAGCGCCAAGAAGATGTTGAGTAATTTTTTTGAGGTGCTTATGTATGTCTCCGGGCTTGAAGAACAAATTATCTTTTCCAAGTACCTTGACGAACATGTCTGGATAGCCAAGCGCAAAAGACTTGTTCTCTTGCCGGAAAATCTCGAAGATAACATCTGGTTCCGTCGAAAACACAGTTTTGGAACCAAAAATGTTCGTACGAAACAACGGTCCATACCTGAAATATTTTACATATGTAGCGCCATATATACTAACGTTTCTTCTCGTTTAAGTAAGAAAAATGTACAGAGGCAATGAAATCTAATTACCTTAATAATCTCTTCTTGAGAAAGGGTGGAATCTCGTAGAATCCATAAGGCTTAAAGAAATGGATTGTTTCTCCGAGGATCGGGAAACCCATTGACCCGGGAGGTAACTTGCCAATGCACTTAGGTTTAGTGTTCAACCATCGGTACAACCAGTGGCTGATCCTCACAACCACTAAAGCTATGACCAACGACGCTACTGTCCACATGAAACTCATCCTGCTCTGCCTCTCAAGAGTTGGCCTTCGTTGCAACTTTAATTGAGATTAAATAAAGAAAATATCCCACATGTGTAATTCTTTTTTTTGTGATTCCGAAATATGTGTTTGTTCTTTTTTTTTCTCTATAAGGCTATAACAGTATCTATTTTTATTTTATTTTTTGAGGGCCAGTATTTATTATTTTACTATAGAGATTGTAGATTATTTACAAACGGTTAGGATCATTTAGTTAGGTATGTATATATACACATCCACCAAAAACAATTAATCACATAAGTATCATAGTTAGCAGACTGTTTTCTAAAGATTATGTGTCTCTCTTCATCCGTCATAGCTACCTCTATTCCAGACAACAATTTCGTCTCTTCTAAGATAACAGCCTCATGAGCATGTGAGAGACTCTCTCCTTGGTTTATTCCATCTCAGTACTCAATATCATCTTCATTCTTCGATATCAATTTTTTTTTTTGCTCGAGAAAAGGAAATAACTCAACACAGAAAAAAGGAAACAACAAATTAGATTTTTAGAAAAAAGGAAACAACCAATTAGATTTTTAGAAAAAAGGAAATTACATAGAAGATTCAGAAAAAAAGGAAACTTTGAATCTCATAAGGAAACTATAAATAGAGAGTTTCGAGTCTTCTCTTCTCTCTATGTGTAATCGTTTTTTCATCAAACAAACCAGAAAAACCACAGAGATTGAGAAAGAGTTATAGATTGAGAGAGATTAAATTACAAATCGCCAATTGCTCTGTTTTTTTTTATCATTCTCTTCTTCGATTCATGCTTCTATTTCATCTTTGAGTTTTTCGAATTTCATGATTTTCTCTGGATAAATCTTTGCCGTGATGGAAGAAGATGATGCTCTGGTTCTTCTTCTCCCTATGTCTCTCGATATCATCTCTCAGTCTCCCTCGTCGGAGGAGGTTCAAAGACGTCGGATCTTGTTTATATTATCTTCGATGCTCCTTCTTCTGAGGAGGATCATCAGAAGCTTTTGCGTTCACGGTGGTGGAGAAGAAGGTGGTGACGGACACGGTGGTGGAGAAGAAGGTGGTGACGGACACGGTGGTGGAGAAGGTCTTGGATTGCAATCTCATCTTCAGCCCAACAAAAAGCCCATTCACATACCCATTAAAAAACTGAGGTCAATTTCTATCCTTTTTTAATTTTTAAAAGTTTTTAAATATTACAGCTTTTTATTTATTCTTTCTCACAGATTTTCACAGATTTTCAAATCTTTTAAAAACTTTTCATTTTTATTTTTTGGTTTAAAGTCTTTTTTTTTTTACTTTTAAATGTTTTGAAATTTTAAATATTAAAAACTTGGATACCAAATTTGCATAATGATATGAAAACTAACCGGATTTTGGATCCAGCATTAGTCATTAACGATTCCAAACATTCAACTTGTTTTTCCTATTATTATGTAGATTTAGCATTCAAGTTTTTAATTCGGATTTCTAAAATTTTGATTTTGTTTCTTTTCGGATTTTAATTTTTTTTTTCTATTTTCGGATTTAAAAAAAGATTATGTTTGTTTTGAAATTTTCTTTTATTTTTTTAGATACCAAATTTGCATAATGATATGAAAACTAACCGGATTTTGGATCCAGCATTAGTCGTTAGCGATTCCAAACATTCAACTTGTTTTCCTATTATTATGTAGATTTGGCATTCAAGTTTTTAATTCGGACTTTTAAAATTTTGATTTTGTTTCTTTTAGGATTTTTAAATTTTTTCTATTTTTTTCTTTTAAAAAAATTATGTTTGCTTCATGTCAGCTCTGAAAGAAATGGGTATATATGATCTCGAAAAAATCTATTAGTTTTCCAAATTAAGTTAGAAGGATTGAGAAACCTGCTTATAGTATAGAGCATACACAAAAGGGATTTAGCAGCTGTAGTGCAGAGGATTGTGTTGGCAGAAATTATAAATTTCTTTCTATTGTCTTTCAAGAAAAACAGAGGATTTTTTTTGTAAGAAGATAATGTCCCAGAAGTAAAAACTTTCGTCGATAGAGCGATTAAAACTAAAGATGCTTACATTGTAAGATAGTAGTGATGATTCATTCCCAAAAGAAAAAAAAAACCATATTGTAGTGATGATAAGATGCAAATGTGATCAAGTTGTTACGGACGCAGAGCTTGAGTATAATATGTGAGTGCCCAGAGAGTGAATATGTTCCTATATGTTGGATAATGTTGCACCACATTCATCTTGAACACTCCTCTCATTTCCTGCGAATTTAATATAAAACAAAATCAATTTTCTTTTCGTTTGGGTGTAGTGAGTTGTATTAAGATTTCTTTAGATTATAATCACCTCTTGGGGGAAATCACCGTTATCCATCTGCGAATTGATCAACACTTTGGCAGCACGATGAACTGGTAACGGGTTTCTCTCCATCTGACCACCCATAATTAGACCCATTAGTGCTTGTCCCGTATTCACTACATTACTCTTGTTTCCTTCTAAAGGAATATATTTCTTGTTGGGGCAAGAGAGAAAACTCTCTCCCCAACCGCCTTCAACGTTTTGTGTGTTGAGTAAGAACTGAACTGCTCTACGAATCGCCTTGCAGTTACTATAAGTCTTTCCTGCAGCCACTAGACCTCTTATAGCAAAAAAGGTTCCATACATGAAACACACTCCCCAATTTCCATACCATGAACCATCCACCATTTGTAAGTTCTCTATGTATTCCACTCCCTTTACCATAAACCTTTCAACTTCTTCTGTTCTGTGAGCTGGAAACTGTTGCTTGAACCTGGCCAATGCTATTATCACTGATCCTGTGCATTCTACATACCTGATTATTCATTGATTCTATTTAAGTCAACCCCGAATCAATATTATATGTTCAACTAGAAAGAAAAGAAAAGACCGACAAAAAGAAAGTACTCATGCTCCACGATTGTGTTTTCCATGAACTCCACTGGACTGAGCCACTGCATTGTTACACAATATTACCCTCTCTTTTTTTGCATTGAAATATAATCTTGAAACAAGAAAAAAAAAAAAACTAAACTAGTAATGTAAATATTATTACCTCTAGCCAGGTTTTTCCAAGGGCTGGCTCCCACGCTGATATACCTCCATTCTTGCTCTGTTTTTATAATTTTGTACCAACATTTAAGAGATTTTGTTACAACAAAAATCAACATATATATTTTTCAATTAAAAATTTTAGTAGTTTACTTGCCTGCAGATTTAGAAGAAAGTTGACAGCGTCATAAAGTCTCTGGACATCCATTTTCTTACCAATGATCTCAAACGGCTTGCTTTCAAAGATTAGGCAACACTAGAGGATGTTATCATTAGTTAGTATATATATCAACATGACATCACAAAGTTTCTTTGTTACGAATTCTCAGATAAAAAAATTCAGCAAACCTCTAAACTTTCAGCAGTGCAATCAGAAACAGGCCATCCTTGATCTTGGTCTGAAAAAGTCCATCCACCTTTTGTAATGTGTCGGAACATTTTCATATGATCACCTGGAGGATTCTCTGTTATCTGAGAATTCTCCAAGAATTTGTATCCCCTGACCAACGTTGCTCTAATGTTCTCATCATCAATAACATCAGCAGCACCTAACATGACTTGAAGTGATAGGGCTGTATCCCACAACTGGCTACCAAACGACTACACAAGTAAAATCCATTCTTAATGTAACTAAGAGTTTAAGAAGCATAAGAAAGACAAGTTAACCTAAATAAACAAGTTAACCTGGATTTTTAGACCATCCTCTCCAATCCATATATAATCTGCGACTCTAGTGAGATGCTTCTTAAAGTAATCACTCTCTGGGTCTTCTATCCAACAAGCAAGCATATGAAATGGCTTAACAAGAAAAATAAAACATTACAAAAAAAAACAAGAAAAAATATTATTTTCTCTAATCAACAATTTATATCAAGACAAACTTACTAGGTTCTAAAATGCAAAGAAATAAATACCTTTTGCACACATCCACCAGTAATGTATCTGGTGACTTCGTTATGGTAGTGAATGAGTTCCATTGTTTTCCGGAGAGCTCTTTGTCTTATGAGCTTGTTGAAAGGCCACTGATTCAAGACATTCTCTGACAACATATGAACACCTTTCCAAAACAAGTTTTGTACAAATGATTGTGGATAGTATAGATCTTCCTGAAACATCATCATCATTATGTTTACATATTAATATAGTGTGTTTGGTGTTTACAATCTTTAGTGTTTCTTTGTAAATTGTAAATTCCGTCTGCATTTGATGATCATATATATGCAATTTACAATTTGCACAAATATAAATATTTTTATATGTTAATAAGAAGAGTATAGTATGTCTTACATATAAACGCAACGTTTAAATCTACGACATTAGAAGCAATCAAGGCATAGGAAGATGAATACCTTTGCGCATTGTTGGCGAGCTTGGCTCCAATCAATTTTGCTATAAGGCTGAGGATAAAGCTCTTCTCGGAGCTGAGCAATTAGAGGTGTTGTGGTAGCGACAAATTTTTTGCCATACAAGTATGACACTGCCATAAAAATGTCCCGGAAATAAATCCATAGAGTGCCTGTATTTATGAAATTACTTCAGTGAAATTATTGGACCGACTCACTACTAACTCAAGAAGATGATAGAACATAGAAATAGAAATTCATTTGGAACCTCCATTGATAGGAGAAGAAGAAGGGAGCATCCAAAACTCCGGTGGTATGGGTTTGCAACCAGACCAATCATACACTCCAAGAACCTGTGTATGTGAGCAACTGAACTAATTAATGAAGTTCTACTAAGTAGAGATCTAAAGTACTAAGGAATATTAAAAATATTAATTAAGCATGAATTTCCAACTAAAATCAATCAACAATGATTAGAGAGATCCATGTCCATTATATATTATGTTAGATATATACAACTTCATAATTTCCGATGTGTGATATTCTAACCAAATATATGCATACCGAAAGCCAAATCTTTCCGATCAAAGGCGTATAAGTGGCACCACCGTGGTCGAGGATCCACTTTTGAGCCCTTGTACAAACATTTTCTTGACCATCATGGTCAGGCTCTATCCCAAAAATTCTTAGACATATGTAGTTGATAACCGTACAGAACATAACACTGTGGCCTTCCACATGTAATCCCCATCCACCATCATCGTTCTACAAATGAAGTATGATACGAACGTATACGAATTACATATCATTCCCTCAAGGTTTATCAGTTAAATTATTTATCCATATGTGTACATATTATTACACGTACCTGATGGTTGTACATGTAACGCATCAGCTCTTTGCGATGCTCTTGAGAGAAGATTTTATCCAGATGCCCAGTGATATACAAGCTTATGACCTGTGAATTTTTTCATTGTTAAATATACTATTAATTTTGTTTCTAAGAGTGTTACTAGCTGTATTGATAAATATCCAAATAGAGTATATATATGTGTAGCTCACAAAGGGAGCTTCGAAGAACAAGGGACCAGAATTTTCAGCAGGCCAGTGTCCATCATCGGCTTGCAAGGCCGCAAAATAGAGTATCCCTCTTTTAAGTGCCATCTTGGCGTCTTCATGTGTTATCTGCTGTTCATCATCTATTATCACTCGCGGAATCTTCTGCTCAAACCTCTTCTCCCTTAGAAACTGTACGTAATCATGTTGCAAAAACAAAAACACAAAACCAAGAAAACAAAAAGAAAAAAAATTAGTTCTACTAGTTCACAGTGACCTTATGAGACTGGAACTACCTAAAAAAAAGCAAGTAATGTAAAATATTTTCACCTGCATGCGCCAAAGTAGATCAGCACTAGACTTGAAACGAGGCGGATTGCTTGAGAACTTCTGTCGAACCTTATTGACTTCAGCTAATTCCTCAGGCGAGCCTGCCTTAGCATCAAATTCCCAAATCTGTCTACCGGCATAACTGTTGGTTGTGAACAAGTGAGTCTTGTCTCCAGCTTCAGCTGCAATTCTTAGTCTCCACATTTGGTATCAATCCTCGTCGAGTCCTAGCTAATCACTGTGAACATTATAGTTAGTGTATATATATGTTTGTATATTTGTATCTATGAACGAGTTTGACTACCAAATCTTACCGTGACGAGCTTTTCCTCTTTCATTATGGAAGGAAAGAAGTAACACCTATTTATATAGTTCAAAATATGTCAGGGTCATGCTTATGTTTTTTATATTTTTTATTTTTATCTAAAATTCCCGGAATTAGCTAGTTTTATTTATTTATTTAAAGTTTTGTTGATTTTGTCAATTTATAGGGATGATGAAACGGAACAGACATATATTAACATAATCAAGTGGATTCCGTAGATGACATCTTGTTGCCGCACAATTTATTGCTTTTTTAGTTTTGTATTTTTGGGCCCTGTTAACTAGGCCGTACATGAAATAAAAGAAACTTTGGCCTACTTTCATATTTTCTTTTAAGTTTAGTTGTCTATATATAAATTTTTGAAAATAACAACGACTACCAAAAGTCCATGCATTCATAAGTCCATTTTTTTATTATTGAAACGTGACTTTGTTTATATATAGTGACTAGAATATACCGCAGGGCTATATTTTTTAAAAAAATGTAATGTTACTTTTTAAAAGACTAACTGAAGATATATCATATTAATTTGTATTTTTAAATGTAGATATCTATCTATCAATTTTTGAAGTATAGATACGAAAACATACATTTTTTTTAAGTAACGATGTATCATGTATGGTGGATTTTAAATTTTTGAATATTTTACTCTGCAGTATACCGTGGGTCGGTTTTTTTAGAACTAAAAATTTTAAATTTAAGTTGGATTTGTTTTGTTAATATTGTTTCTTTTTTTTTGTGTTTAAGATTGTATAATTGTATTTTGATTGTTAATTTTAGGATTTCATCCGTAATATACCGTTATTTATTAATATCGATCCAAACCCGTCATCCCATATAAACTCGTCTATATTATCTCGTTAGCTAAATTATTAGTATTATAAAATCCAAGAAAATAAATTATTATTGTTATAAAATCTAATAATTTTAGGATCTCACCCGTAGTATACCGTTCTTTGAACGATTTTAAATTTATACTACTAATATATATTTTAAATTTATCATATAAAGTATATGATTTCAAGTTTTTGTGTTTTTTTTTATTTAAAAAAAAACAGCTTAAATGATGATAGATATAGTTCTTTTTCCTGTATGTGTATTTGATTTTTCTATGTGAATATTTTGATTATTATAAATTAGTATTTTTATTGCTATGCAAAATGTTAATATAAATATTTGCTATAAATTTTTTTGAAGATATATGGAAAGATTGTGTAGAGATTTTTAGAAACAAATTAGGCAAGATATTGTTTGGTTAATATCTTTTATTGAAATTTTGTAAAAGTAATAATAAATGCCAATGGCATTCTTTGTAAATATTGTCCAATCCCAGGATTTATTTGCTAAAAGTGTTCCAAAAATGTATATATAGATGGTTGATTCATGTTTATTTTAATCTATAAAAGGACCCGGAAGTAATTACGGTAGGTTTGATCAATAGCTAGAGTTGAGTTTTTTCTTCTTTTTTGGGTATAATATTCGTATTAAAAGTAGACAGGATCTAATAGAGTTGAGCGATTTCTTCTTCTTTTGGGGTAAAATATACTAGTATAATATCAAGTAAAGGAACGCCATAATAAAAGATTTAGGAAGTCGCTAAAACCAAACTTGACGAGTTACGTACAGAGTAAATGATGGTGGTTGTAACTTGTAACCACCGAAGCGACTACAAATTCCCATAGTTATATATATCATACCAATTATAAAATTTTTTTGCATGGTTATCATTATGTACTTATCTCAATATTGCATCGATTAGCTTAGTTAAAACCAAGGAGGCCATATAATATAAACTTAGTAATTAAGATTAATTATATCTCCCAACTATCCTAGCTCTAAACCTTAAATGAGAAAATGCCAAGAATGGTTGAATGCACATACAAATCGTCACCTAGCTAAAAACACAAAGACTAGTAGTGAGCTGTCACATACACACGGTAACAGACCATCCAATATATATATATATATTTTTTTGTAATAAATATTCTTTAGAGAGGTCATTGTAATTTGTAATTAAGCCTTCCGACTCTATAATGTTTGACTATGGATAGATTTTTGCATATCGGATATCAATCTAAACCGGGATTATATGGTTGAGTGAGGTGGACCGAGTAAATGAGACAGACTTGTTCTGAAAGGGAGGGTTTGATTCAAAAGGATTGATAGTGTTCGACTCTCTTCATTGGGTACTTCCTCGTGAGAAGATCGAGACTTTCTTATGATAATTAATTTCTCGGATCTGAACTCGAGAAACTTTGCAGTGCTTTCTTCTTCTTTCTCTTCATGCGCTCTGTTTTTGACAAAACCGTAAATCTTTCTTTTTTTGATCTTTGTGGATTTCGACATGCGTGTGTTTCACGGTAGATATATTTCACTAAATAGTGTTGATTTTTGCCATAAGGCTGAGGATAAAGTTCTTCGTGGAGCTGTAGAATGAGAGACATTTGCGTTACTACAAACTTTTTAGCCTACAAATAGGAAAACGCCATGAATGTATCCCGCAAAATAAATCCACAGAGTACCTGAACACACATGAATACAATCGTGTATCAGTCTGTAATTTGATTTGTAAAGATTGTAATAACTCTTTTGATTTTTACTGTTAGAAGTTTACAGATCTCTCATATCTATTATATAAAATAGAGGGTTAGGTCGTTTATTATATCTTCAATTGTTGGTAGAACTCGAGAAGCAGATGCCCAAGGCGTTTCAACACATTTACTCGCTTAAGATGAAACTTCATTTGTCGACCAATTTTATTTTCCAGATTTGAAGAAGCGGTCATGTTTGTAAGAACTGACGAGTAAGATGCATCGGACCGCGACATTAATAGTTGACATTTTTGCTCATCGATCTACAACAACGAAAGTTGTTTCCCACCCTCTAGAGTTCTTCCAAGATTGCCTAATCCTGAACCTTGAGCCACTTATTTTGCTTCATTTTCTTTGTTTTCGCTTAAATCATCTAAACAATGAAAACATTGCCCCACTTATCAACACATGACACTCCTTAGCCTATCTATATATGCAAGCGAAGATGTTGAAATAATCGTTCTAGAGGGGTGGTGCAGCATTTCTGGACGTCGATGGTGCAATTAAAGATGTTGATGGTGAATAGAAACGAAGCAGCTTGTTTGTTGACATCGGTCTATTTCAAACCAAACATATGTTTCTTCAAGCAAGACTTCACATGACATTAGGACCCGTACCCCAAACTTCCTCCAACCCGAAACGTATCTCTTTAATGCAAACTTTTGTCACAAGAGTAAGGTAATAGTATGAGTCCTAGTGCGGTGTGAGCCCTTGGTTGAAAAAAAGTTCAACCTTGTAATTGCAGAGAATTTCAAGGATGAAAAGATGTTTTGGTTTGAACTAGACCGAGTTCAGACTAACAAGCTGCTCCTTTTCTTTTCACCATCACCATGTGTAAGAGTACCATTTACATCCAGAGATGTTGCACCACCCTCTAGAAAGGCTATTATTTCTGCATCTTTTCTTGCAGAGATTGGAGAAGGAGAAACGTGTGTTGATAAGTACTTGAGCAATATTTTCAAATCTTCAGATGATTCAAGCGAATAAGGAAAAAGAACTCAAAATAAATGACACGCGGTTCAAGATTAGGCAATCTTGGAAGAAGTAGAAGATGGGAAACAGCTTCCATTATTGCAGATGAGCGGAAAATCACAACCATCAATGTCACAATCAGGTACATCTTACTCATCAGTCTAAGAAACATGACTGATTCAGTACTAAAGTTATATGGATTTGTATACTATTCAAGTCAAGTTAGGATTGTCTTTTTTTGGTGTGAAGTGAAGCATACCAAATTGTGACAAATTCTAGTTAAGATAGATCATAAGTTGGTATGTATGCAAGTATTTAATCTAAGTGGCAATTAGAGATCATGTCTTATAGATCTTTTATCCATTACAATAATTAATAAAAAAATCCATCTATTCAATCTATTGATCCTAAATTTGAAAATCTAATATTTTCCCGCGAAATATCGTTAAGGCTAACGGTATTCTCCCGCACGAAAATATTAGGTTTTATATTTGATGATGATCAAGGTTTGAAATTATTATAAGAGCAAACTAATTTTTGTTATTATATTGTGATGTATAAAAATCTATAATTGCATTTCAATCAACAAACAAGATAATTTATTTAAATATTCGTGGGCTATCTTAGGGTTTTGTAATCTACCATCTAATAATAGATCATCATGTTAAAAGATTATAGATCTATTCGTGTAATTTCCTTATCCAAAAAGAACTAAGAGAAATTGAGAAAATATGTTGAGATAAACAAAACTGACCTTGGCCATAGATTTAGCGGCATGACGAGTAGTATCTGACGAAAGCCTCCTGGGCTTTGTGATCCTTCGCACTCACATGAGAGAACGTGTTAAAAGATCTAGTCGTGTAATTTATCCAAAAAGCACTAAGAGAAAATTGTTGAGATAAACAAAACTGACCTTGTGGGCTTTGTGATCCTTCGCATGAGAGATTAGACGTCTCTTTTCCAATCATTCCATCTATGTGCTTACAGTTTCTTTCGTGGACAGGATCATATAGTGAAGAAGAGAGACACGAGTAAAAAGAAAAAAACAGCTTTTTTGATTTGAGATTCTGCACATGTAAGAGAATGGATCGTTTATATGTTTGATGTAGATAAATATTGAGGAGACACGAAAGATTAATCAGCGACAGATAAAATGTGGGGTTGTTGTGGAAATTAAAATTAAACCCCAATTCATAATAATTTACTTTTTATTTTCATTTGAACAATTTAAGTTTATTTTTCTCTTATAGTCAACAACTGAGGGAAACATTAAGGCTCTTTCCTTCTTGACATTATATTTACCAAATAATATTTTATTTGTTTCTAATTTAAATCATTTCATGAAGATTTTTTTCCTTTTGCAGCATATCTACTTTTAAAAATTTGTCAATGGCTATACTTAAATCTTTTTAAGAGTAAAATATCTATAAATTATTTAATGTGGGGACTATGATATTTACTAATTTATAGAGTGATTAATTTATCTATATATTAATTAACCAAAAGAACTAATTTAGAACTAAAGAAATGTATTGGTTTATCGAGGTATGAAGCTATCGGAGTATTAATTTATAGAGGTTATATCGTACGTTAAAAATGTTATGCTGCTACGACAAATAAATATTTGAAAGGAAACTTGAAAAGGAAATGATGTGTTGTTCTTCATACAGTCTTAGACTAAAATAAAATCCCCATATTTTTTTTAATTCCAAAATGTACCAGAACAACAAATGAAAGTTATCAAATCAACATTATATAAAGATGTCTATACCTTAGGCATGATTTTGAGGACAAAGTAAATCCCAGATATTACAACATCAAACAAACACCGAAAACATTAATTAATTACTTGAAAGTTGAGATTGAGAGTTGAGACCATATTTAATCTTCACTCTCATGACTTCTTATAGATAGATCCAAACCAAATCTCATTAGAAGCATTCGATACTAAGCTCCTTGTTACCTTTTGGAAGTTCCTTTAGCTTGGCAACTGCCGCTTCTATCCTTTTCTTCTTCTTTTTGTCAAATGATGTCTTAATCATCATCTTCTTCATTACTGTCTTCTGCATCACAAAACGCGACGCTAGTGCAAATTGTTCTTTATTTGAACCGCTGAAATTGTGCATCCATATAGTATCCACACGAAAATCAGCATTGGGAAACGGTTCTGCCTTCTCCCACAGCTTGTTATTTGCTCCACCTTTAGAAGATTCGCCTTCTTCCCCAAGAGAATTGTTATTCTACATACACAGCAAGTTAAATATTGTATCGGATCTGAATACATATTATAACAAATGTGGTTAAAGAGATCAAAGATCAAACTTCAAAGCATCCAATTAAAAATGGAACATGAAATGAACATACCTTAAATGATATTTCAAGTTCTATCATTTTTTCAGTCCACACAGCTAACATTTTCCTTAGCACCTCGACTTCTCGAGGATTCTTCAAATCTAAACTCACAGATAAAGATGCAAGTAATGTTACATTGTTGAGAGGCCTCGCCATCCCACTGCGTTCGTTCTTCTAGATTCAAATACACAATTAACAAACATGTCAAACTAAATATAATTATTTTTGTTTATATCCAAGTGCAATTTCTTGTACCTGAGGGGGACATGAGATATTGATGCTGGTATGAGGAAAGAGCCTTCCTGCTACCCAATAGTTTCTACCAAACGGGAGTCTAGGGATTTCGAGAACGACCTTATCACTCTCACATGGGATATTTTCTATGGAGAGAATATCAAGACGAGTTGCACGCACTTCAATGCTATCAATTTGGTTGCATGAGATGGACAAGATCCTTAAATTTTTATGATCAATCTTCAAATGACCACTGGGGTTGAAGAAAAAGATTTGTAGGATAAGAACCTCCAGGGAGGGGCAAGACAAGATGACTTCGTTGAAAACACCAATCTCAGCAAAGATTTGCAAGAGTTCAAGGTGCTTGAGATTCCTACAATTGTTAAAGGCATGTGCATCCTGTAATATGTATTGATATAGCGAGAGTGTTCTTAGCTTTGGATGGTAGAATATCTCTGGGGAAAGATTAAGCACATAGGCTTCAATTGTTGGTACGAGGTGACCATTAAAATTTGCAAGGATAAGATTCTTGGTGTGTTTCACACTAGTCAGTGATTGGATCCAAGAAGCAAGCGTTCCGTCTTCTAATTGGTTAGAGTAATGAAATATTATGCAAGTCTCTAAATGGCCATTGTGATTGTTTATAACCTGAAAATGCAAAAATGATTAAGAATTAAATAAAGACAAACAATTATGAAAAGTCTATTAACATTTGCAACAATTATTTTCATCGATACTTGTATCTCTTTATATCTTATATTTGTTGAATCCATTAGATTGAATTATATACATAAACATGTAATTTTATGTATGCGTGTATTTATTCTATGTATAAGGCATTAGATCATATGCTTCTCTAGATTATTGATCATATATTTGTTTTAAATGTAACAATTTTTCGCGGGAAATACCGTTATTGTTAAATTAAAATACCGTTATTTGTTGAAATACCGTTATTTGTTATTTTAAATTTTTTTGGAAGTCTATGATCTCATATTTATATGTATAAAATTTCTTATAAGTTTTCAAAGGAAATATATAATGATTTTCTTCTTTTAATCCAAATCTTTTTTTTTATCAATAAGTGATTGAAAATTGTAAGACAGAATATTGAGAGAGAAAATAAAAAGAACCTGGGTCATCAGTTGAGCGGCACGATCTAATAATTGTGGCAGAACAATCCCGTTGATGGTGATGGTCTTTCGCATGTCAAAGCAAAGATTTGACATTTCTTTCCATGTATCCATCCATCGTTTGGACAAAACACATGTCTTTATTGCTTCTTCTGTGGACAATTCTGATAAGATCTTGAGCAACATATCGTTAGGAAGCTTACATATTTGATCAGCATTATCGATTGCATCGATACTGACTCTTTGGTTCGATAATATAGAGGATTCGTTTTGTAAGAGAGACATAAATGAAGAAGAGAGAATTATTTTGACTCAAAAACTAAGAAAATGAAATTATAGCTTATATGATGTTATTGTTGCAAAGAGGCACATCGCCACATATATATACACATAAGGCTACTCAAGTTAATTAATTACCTTCCCGTTTTTCAATTGGAAAATTTTGATTTTATTTTTTGGTCTACGACATTGGCATTTGGCAAAATGAGAAAGAAAGTAAACATTTAATATGCGTTCCTTCTTGACCTATAACTAGACAATTACCGTGTCATACGTGGAATAGTTTAGTTATATTAGATATATTTGGTATGAAATGCATATTTATCAAATTTTATTTCGGCATCAAAATTTGTGTAGTTATTTTTTTATTTTGAAACTAAAGACCAAATATGTAATTCAACTTTATAGAAAACATTTAACAACCACATACCACAAATAAGATTGCATGCTTTGTTGTTTTAGTTGATTACTATCACATATTCACATACTGATTTTTCTCTGCAATGTGCGTAGGTTTTATTTTATTTACGATATTATATACTGATCTATATATCTATATCATCAATACTATATACTTATAGCTATATAGATACTATTAAGATGCATATTTTGAGACATTATTTGATCCATAATCGCGATTTTAGGAGAGTGTCTGTTGTATATGAAGGCTATTGATCAGTATATATGTAAAACTTGGAACATAGGGAAATTTGCTTATTGTGACAATTTATTTTACTTATCTTGCGTTTTCTGTCAAATTCATTTTGAGTTTGTAGATTTTGTCAAAGTGAACTGCGAACTACAAATATGGCTTTAATTAATGAAATTAAGTGTTTACTACTAGTTTCTAAGCTTTTGGTCATTCACTAGAGCGGCAGCATTTGCAATTTCCTCCGAAGAGATGATTATATATGTTGACTTTTATAATAAGCCAACTAATCCTACAAGTAAATAAGTTACTTGGTCATAGTTTTCTTATAAGCCAAAGTCCAAATAGTTAAGTGGTCCGCACAGAACAAGTTTGTTTGCAGTGGAAACTGAAACATCAAATATGTGCGAGTTTACGTCCTAACCTATGTTCTTTTGTGAAATTGCTCCTCTCACAACTCACAAGTCCAAACAAAATCTCTTCATCACTTGAGTTTAGTCCATCCTTTGTTACTGTTTTCAGACAAATACAATGGTCCCCATTCTCAGCGGCTGCTCTCATCTCCTTCGACAAGTCCACATTATATTTTATATTGATTTGTACTATTTTATTATACAAAATTAGAAACATTCAGTATAAGACATCGACACATCGGGTTATTATGATTCATCCTATTATATTTATTAAAAATCTCGTTAGATATTCTAATGAACTTATGAAAGTGGTAAAGATTAAATGATACATTTACATTGCACCATTAGTTGAATTAGGTATAGTGAACAATGATTTTCTCTAAATAAAAAAAATTATCTTTTTTTTTTTGGTAGAAAAAATTTGTCTTTTTTACCATTATTTAGCTGAATTTAGGTCGCTTCTTAGTTTTTTTTTTTTTTTAATTGTTCAATATTAGTCAATACTCAATTACTATTGTGCCTTTTTAAAAATAGAAGTCCTCATTTTTGTTTGTCTATCAATTTTGCTGACTAATTGATATATTTACCATAAGCAATTAACTTTTTTTAGGCAATTATCTCCGCTAAACTTGGCAAAACATTTATCAAAATCCACATTTAATACCTCAAAGCATTTCATAATTGTCTTGCCAACTGAACCCAATTATTAGAGGTCAAACTTGTACTAACTTTAACAAGTCAAAGATATTAATAACTTGTACTCTATTCTTATCATCTCATTGCCAAAAAATGCAACTATAAATACCCCATTACACCAAACATACCAATTAGGATCTACAATATTCCTTTAAGTCTCTCTTTTTTTTTTCGGTTTTTCATTTAAGTCTATTCAATCATGGAAACCGGTTTAAACATCTTAAAGCTATCGCTATGCCTCAGCCTAGCCGTGGTTGGATCATATGCTCAAGCTCCCGCACCATTTAATGGGTTTCGTCCTGGAACATGTGACCACTACGAGTGCCCCACCTATAAACTGGTAGAGGCCGGATACGGCTTTGAGATCCGAATGTATGACGCTGCGCTATGGATTTCTACTAGTCCTATCCCCGCCCCATCCATGACTCAAGCCACCAAAACCGGTTTCCGACGGTAACTTACATGTCTCAATCTAATCTTTGTTATATATATAGCCTAGGGTTATCTAATCCAACTAACAAATTGAATATATTTGTTTGGTTTATAGATTATTTAGTTACATACAAGGAGATAACAAGAGCAAAGTGAAGATGAACATGACAGCTCCGGTGATCACACAAGCAACGCCGGGAAAATCAGTCTACACGATCTCCTTCTACCTCCCGAAGAAGAACCAACAGAACCCACCTCAGGCCGATGATCTCCATGTGCAGTCATGGAAACCAACCTACGTAGCCGTGAGGCAGATCGGTGGGTACGTGTCGGATGATGTAGCCAAGAAAGAAGCTGTGGCTCTGATGGAAAGCCTCCGGAGTTCTGACTGGATTTTACCCGTCGAGAAGAGCAAAGGAAAGTCGCCGGCGTATATAGTCGCTGATTATAACCCGCCGTCTCAGACCACGGCTAGGGTTAATGAGATCATGGTTCCATTTAACATGTAATCATGTTAATTAATTACGCCCTCACGATTTGATTGGTACATAGCAATTGGATTAGAAGAGGTGGTTTAGAACCGAGACTGTAACAGCAGCTTCTGGTTTAACCGTATATATTGTATCTCTGGTTATTAATATTGTTATTTTGTTTTATCTTTTGTAAAGGTGGGAAAAACTGTAACCAAAAAGTCTGAAAAATGATTAAATGTAAGTAAAATTAAATTGAATCAAAATTGAAAATCAAGATCTTCTGATGTAGTAAATTGAGTCAAGGCATATTGAAGCGATTCAACCATATATGCAACTTTTTACAGGCCCTTGTCTATGATATAACTCAAGAATGATTGCACTTTACATGTATCTATCTTCTCTTTTCAACCATCTATACACAGAGACAAATATATAAAGAAAATTTACCTTATGTTTAACGTGACCCCCTTTCAACGTGCTATTACCACCACCACCAACACAGGCACCAGAATTTCGTTTTCCTACACTTGTTCTCTCTTGCATTTGAACTTGAGGCGCATTGTCAACCTGAGAGCCACCCAAGCTTGCGGATTCTTCGTCACAGGAAAGCTTCCCAGGGGAAGCAGAGCAGTACCCCGCCGGGACACATTCATCCTTACGAGATAGCCTCCGGTGAATTATTTGGCAGTCCCCAGAGCTACAGAAGTTAACAATCAAGAACTGTAATTCAACATACCCAATGAAACTCACAGCACCTACGTAATCAGCTAAGCTTCCACAAGAAATGAGAGTTAATCTCTATAATCGAGCAAATCGGAATCAATCGACAGTATGCGTTTGTTCCAGCCTAGTAGAAAACTCAAATCCAGAAAGTACCTAGCACATTCTTTACCAAGCCACTCAAAATCACATATAAGACTGCTTATAACGACGAATCTAACCCCTTATTGCTCTCAAATCTAACATCCAAGTAACACCCATGAACCCTAAAGCCCTTGCATTTGAAATTTTTTTCACTTTGTACAAATTAGAAACAACCCACAAGAAAAGACCGAGTTTTTAAATCACCTTATTTAGAAGTTAGAACGATGAAGACAACAAAAGAGCAGAAGAAATGACTCTTTGGTTGCAGAATCGGTAAGAAACGAACAATCTCTCTGTCTTTCTCCTTCCTCTGTTGTCACTCTTCGTCTTTGGTTCAAGTTTATAATATCTCCGATTAATTCATTGCAAACAAAACATATACAACAGATTAGTTTTTTTGTGTAAATGTTAAACAACAGATTAGTTTTTTTAAAAGAACAAAATGTTGAGGGCCAAGGTGGGTCAGGCTTTAAGTCTGGTTTTGATCGTTTTCTGGTTTGTTATACTCTGTTTTTGCTTTTGTACTCTGTTCCTATGAACTACTGCTTTGTTCTTTTGGATTAATTAATACAAGACGTTAAAAAAAAAAAAAAAAAGAACAAAATGTTGTTTTGCACATAGTATAAAAGAATCAGTTTTTAAGAGTAATCAATTTACAATTGGATGACTACTAATACTAGTTGGAAATTTCAGAGTTTTCGTGTCAAATTATATTATGTTTTGATTTAGTAAATTCTTAGACCTTTTTAAGGATGTCTATAAGTAATCAATTCTAAAGTATGTGATGTTAACATGAGAATGAAAAGTACAGAGTAAAATTAATTTACTGATTTCTAAAGAGACAAAATCCCCACAGAGAGTATTCAAATGTTCTGAGAAAGACATAATGCAAAAAGTTTTGAAAAGGACACCAAGAAACACACATATTATATATACATGCACTCTATTAATGATCGCATTTGCCTTTGAAAACGCAACTCAATCAGATTTAAGAAAGGAAAAAAAAGACTTGAAAGCTGTGTTATGTCAAGCAAAACTAAGTTTCAGATACTGATAACATATAGTATTTTCTTAAAACATTTTACTCTGTCAATATTCATTTTATTCTATAGATAGTCTTTTTTCAGGATTTCTACGGATCGTTAATAGGTTAACATTATAATTTTATACTAGGTTTTTATTATTAAACTTTTATTTGGAAGTAAGAAAATTAAGAGTCAGACAGAGGTCATACAGGGACGTGGCATATAGAGACATCTCCCACGTGGCTCAAAGCCACTTGATACAAAACATGTCATAATGTAGGGTCCTTTTTTGAACCATTTTTCTCGAAACATCTTATCTCAACCGTTGGATCTAGTAATGATCAAGATATTCAAGATACTTGAGGATTTCGAAAAAAAGTTATTTTCACGTTTATGTTGAAAAAAACATTTACTCTCACAGTTTGGCAAAGTGAGATTTGGTTCTCACGTTTTGACAGTTAAGGCTTTTTAGGACAAAAATGCCCCTAACGAGTGAACCAAACGGCACAGTTTCTTTGCGGTTTAGT